AACGACTCGACTACTTCGTTGGCAGACAGAGAAGCTGCAGATGTCTCAGACGTCGAAGTATAATATTTGACTTTTTCAAAGTCCGCTCATCGGGCGACTCGGCGAAAGAACGAGCGAGTAAGGGAGCGAGCGAGCTACAACAAATGATGAGCACGGAGCCATACTTGTTTGGACAGCAACGAAAATCAAACACACATGTCCCCCAGAACTATTGAGGATGCCACGGTGAACGAGGTCGACCTCAACGGAGCAAACACTATCCTCCAAGGTTGAATAATCTCCTATAACGACAAAACACTCTAAATTCAAGCGAAAATAGCGGCTCCGGTCGTGGTGGTCGAGGGAGCTATTTTCTCGAGCCTCATCCCTTCACGCCGGAGGAACTTTCGACTCGAATCAGGAGCCGCGCCTCAGGGTGGAATCTGACGCCCCGTACCTGGATTGGTCGATTCAGCGAAGGCGGCGAATAATGATGCTCGTTCGGTGGATCTGTAATGCCATTTCGTTTGTTGCCTCTACGGTTGCTACGCAGTTGCTACGCGACTGACTGAATGGACCGACCGAGGAACGTTTGGATGGACCGCCTTTTTACGATTTGTCCGTCCCGTGTGGAGCATCAGGGCGCTCGCTGGGGCCTCGCTCTTCACGGTTGACGGCGAAGCGGCGGACGATGCTCATTTGGCTCTCGTTCTGCCTTCAACAAATCAGCCGACGAGTCCGCCAGTTGGTCGTTGTGTCTGGAGACGTACCCATGAACATCTACTCCGGTAGGTTCGGATGGATAATGGATTCTTATCCATGAAATCTCTGAAAGAGTTGCGTAGACTATCGGGGCTCAGCATCGGACGGTCGGACCATCGAACAGTCGGCAGTGAATCGATAAGAAGTGGACGCGAGACGCGCAGCGACCGCTAATGTTCCGTCTCCCTTGATTTATTTCTGTTTGACAAACGGCGCTCCCCGAGCCTCAGAGCTTGGATAAATGAACGAACTTACGATGGAGCCGTACCGAATCTTGGGTCAATGTTACCACGGAACAAGAATCGTTCCCTGCCGCCGTCGCCGCCGTCGCCGCCGCCGCCAACAACGAGGATCAGAAGAACAACGACGACGTTTGTTGTGTTCGTTTGTTCAGGAATCTTTTTCTCTTCCCAGCATTCATTCATAATCGAAGTTGGCGGCATCAGCAGCAGAAGAGCTACAGGCGGGAAAGCTACAGCCGCCTGAAGAAGAAGAAGAAGGCACTTCGTCGTCGGGCTCGAAGGGCTTGCCGAGCGCGGAACCGCACCCGTAGTCGTTTGGGATGAAATCAACATCAGGATGCTGCTGCTGCAGCGACCGACCGAACGGCAAAGAAACGAGCGTCCAACCAACAACAAGAAAAAGAAATGACTAGCCAGAGAGAGCAAAAAAAAAAGAATCCAACAAGAATCCATCCAGCAAATGATGATGATAATCATCATCATCAGCCATCATGGTTCTGTACGAGTGCCCGCCTCGTTCGTTCGTTCTTTCGTCGGTCAGTTCGTCCGCGGATTCGTTCGTCGTCGACGTCGTTTGTCCGCTCCTTGCTCAATCGGAACGAGATTCTGACCATCCACTTGTTCTGGTACCTGAGGGCCGGCTCGAAATACTCCCCCTTACCTCTGCGCCACTCGTCAAGTTCCGATTCCCCGATCGTTTCGGAGTGACACTCCGACGCAGATTCTGGAACGTGCTCGCCGATCACCCGTGTTCGAACTCGCATATTGAACTTACATTAAGCCCATCGACCGCGTTTATCCATCACATGCCCATGTATTCATAGTTGGCTTGGCTCAAACAGCTCTGACGGCTCGGTTGACTTGTAGGCGAGCGGCCGGCGGCAGTCTCGCGAGCTCGAATTGGCGGTCACGAGCCTCTCATGGATGCTCACGGATGATAATCATGCATGTCGTTGCTGTAACGCTGTATCTATCCGTATGACGGGCTAGCCGAATAATGTCGGTCCGTGTCCACCCAGTCGGACTGACGGAGACTGGCTGCACACTGGCAGACCGAGAGCGGAGGGAATAAAGCAAGCGGCAAAACTCATTCTGCGACGTGCCTCGACTACAAATCGAATGTACGTCCGCCTGCAGGGACCATGAAGCACCGATGACCCCCTCACGTTCACGTTGTTGTGGCAACCAACGGATGTCACCGCGGCTGTCGTAATCGTTGCCGCCGCCACTGGTAGATGATTACGTCCAGCAACTACGAATAAGGCTCGTTGACTGGCCGTTCGTTTTGTTGCGGACAGTCGTTTGCCTGCTCGCTCAGCGATCAAATAGCAGCCCGGCAAACCAGCCAGCGAGTAATCTCAATGAGGCCCGTCGTCCGCCAGCACTGATAAAGCGAGGAATCCTCCCTTGCTAATTTCACTTCTGAGGTTCCTTGCCTTATCCACGGGAGCGAATCTCACTACTGGAACGACGTTATTAATCGTCGCTTGCTTGCCTGGGTACCTTTGTCGCTGGATTCACCAGCTCCTCGATTAAAGTAGTCGTTCACCGACAAATCCCCCGGGCAGAAAAACCCCCGCTCGACTTCCGGACAGCCTCCGATGCGCCCGGACTGCACTCGACGTTTTCGCTACTGATCCTGCGATACTGAATGTCTACAGGAGCCTCCGGTGAGCCTGGAGCTTCTTTATTATCGAGATGAGCTCTGAGACGTCTCGGATCGACTTGTCCGCATTGTGAACTCCGGCAACAGTCGAGAAATTTCGAATAGCGGGGCGAACAGAATTTGGAATGGACTCGCCGATTCTCTACTCGATATCTCCTGCGTCCAAGTGCCTCGAGTCGGGTAGGCTCGTCCGCGAAGTGATCGGTTTCAATCGTATGGAGTCGCTCAGCTGAAATCATCTGAACAGCGAGAGTATCCGGCTGGTCTGAACACCAACGACATCATTTGCGCGTAGGCTATTCGCGAACAGAACGTCTGCGTACCCCATTCAAACTGCCAAGTGGCTAATCGGCGTGTGATCGCTTCGGAGAAGTCTCGAACGGAATTTTGAAAATTGTTTTTCATGATCCTCTGAAACTCGTTCACGCTTGTGTGAACATGAATGGTATTCACTATTCACTTACAAGCGAGGGAGCCCGTATCCACACTTGCCGCAAGTCTCCACTGTGTATCGGGTACCCGATGAATTGAGAGTAATTGCGACGAAAGTCTCTTCGATGATTTCCGGGTTTCCTAGACAGTCGGCGTTCCCTTCATCGAGACGACGACACGGACTAGAGCCGAAAGATATCGGATCGCTTCACACACTTTTCGGATATCGCTCACAACATCTGGACACTCGAAATGAACGCCGAGTTCCCGTTGCGCCGCCGTCCGACTGTGTTGAATTCAAGTGTCCATCAAAGCGTCTCCTATCTTTTCGTGTTCGATCGAGGTCTGTCCATCAAAAGCAAGCTAGCCGGGTAGCTAGCAGTAGTTTGAGAGCAGCCAGCCAGTCAGTCAGTCAGTGAGTTCGTCCGTCCGTCAGCTCACTTGCGCATAGACATTTGTTGGTGGATCTCGTCAACACGGTGCTGATGATGAGATTGATGGTGAAGTCTCATCAAAGCAAAAGGGGGTTTCTACCACAACTATGTAGAGTGAAAATGTTGCGCCGAATTCGCTCCGAGAGGAATCTTAATCGAAAACCGCCAATCACGTATCAGCCAACGGAACAGTTTTCGGCCAGCCGCTCTTTCGTTCAGTCGTCTGTTCTTTCAGTGGGTGATGTGAGACACGACGATGGCGATGATGACGAAGCCGGTGACGACCATGTAGAAGATTTTCGGAACAAGAGCGACAATCGGAAAGAGCAGGCCAAGCTCCGAACATAATTCAATCGCTCCGTCGGCTGACTGAGAGTGTACAAAAACCACGTGGAAATCGCATCTAAGTGGGGCGTCGCCGTGAAGGCAACAGCCCCCGCCGCTGCATCCAAAGCAAACCAGATCAAGAAAGATCCACCCTTGGCGATATCGAGTTGAATCAAGTCGATCTGAGCGAAGCCAAATAAGTGGGTGTGAGAGGAATCGTAGCAAATACTCGTTGCGTCCCTTGATGAATTTTCCGTCGCGACCCGCGAAATGCGAATTGAAGAACGTTCAAGAATCCGAGAACGGTGAAAGAACGGATTGACTGACGGACTTACGCTCTACGAACGAGTGATACAATGAATGGGGGAGTTCATTTGAATAATGAACAGGAACATAAGTTGCATCAATGAGTGCATCCGTGAGCGGGAGAGAATATTCACGGAATCGCTAATTCAATTATAGTCGACTAAATCTTCTCTGTCGTCTCCAAACGCCTCACGGTTTCACGATTCTTGACGGCACACAAAATTGACAGAAAGAGAATGTTTGCACGGGCTCGTTCTCGTTCATTGAAAGCTCTGGTTTGGAGTAGACTCACATGATAGCAGATCTTAAAAATCTTGCTCGTCGCAGGAAGGGTCGGCTGCAGATGCCAAATGTACAGATTCTGCGGGTCGACGAGAGTCGATTCACAAAGAGACGGAGCATACATTTCTAATACAATTCTTCTCGCTGCCGAATCCGGCTTCGCAGTTGCTCTTTCGACGCAAAAGTTCAGTTTGTTGGCTAGCTGACTGGTCTTCAGCTGAGAACCATTTCAGCGTTGTGGAGGAGATCTTTACGACTTCAGTTGTAAATGGCTTTGTGTTTTCAGTCTGTCTACCTGCTCGCTTGCTCACTTGCATGCATGCCTCCATCCATCGCCCTTTCGTCTCTCTTGTTGTTTGTTTTGTATTTACGATTTTTGTTTCACGGGGACGTTCCATTGCCCAGGAATCCTCCTCAGCCCATTCTCGAACGTTCGATCGTCCCGAGTCCCGAGCCTTCGAGAGTCACTTCGTGTTGGAAACGTGTCTACCACAAAAATCCGACGTCTTCTGATTATTCTTTCCGGTCGAGATCGAATCGCTAATAGAAAATCCCTTTCTCTCTTTCCAGGCCGGGAAGACCTCCTGGAAGAGCTTCACTGGTGGGGCTTAGCGGAGTTGGCGCGACAAGCCCCGCCGGTCACGGAGGATATCCACCTTTGATGTCAGTGGGAAAATCTGGGACGACTCATTCGAATCTCCCACATTCAGGCAACCCGTTCGGTTCAGAGCACCACACAGCTCTCGAACAAAACGCAGCTGGTTTCGAATTCCGCCGAGAGGCTCGAGATGGCGATGAAAGTAGACAGCCCTCTGAACGGCAGAGCCCACAGGAGCACGCAAGCCGAAACGAACACCCGAACCATCTGAAGCAAGGTTAGTTGACCGTCCTCCGCACCGAATGGGCGTGAGTGCCTGGAGCACTCCGGCTGGCTCCCCTTACTCGCCGGGGAGTCAAGGAAAGAAATTTCGATGTCCTTTCCGGGACAAAAGAGATCGTTCAGCGGACGGCTCATTCCGAAACAGATCACGAAAGATAACTAGTTCAGGCAGCCCCACGAAAACTCAACGACCGAATAATGGTCGCTCAGAAACACCGGAATTATGCCGCTGACAGAGCGTGTGAATGACTGCATCGCGACGCGAGCGCAAAGAGCTCCTTAAATCAAGAAGAAGTGCTAGAATTTCCAAGCTCGCCGTCGTTCCGGAATGGCAACGCTTTGGATTCTCGTCACGAACGATAAACTACAAGTGGGGAAGAGTTCCCCCGAGATAGAGCTCCGGATGAAAATTGGATCCGAATCTCCTTGTCCGCGAGCTGGAATTCTCATCTCAGACTGCGAGATATCCGCTCTTCCCCTACCAGAATCTCGAGATTAAATTTGTGGCTGACCGTTCTTCGTGTTTTTTCCTGGGGATGCTGGAGTGTGATAGAGGAGCCCTCGGGATGAAGGTTCCGAGGAGAGCTAGAATGTTTTTTCGAATTGAATGGAACCCGAAGCCTCCAGACAAGAGCAATGTCGACGGAAAAGTCATGGCGCACATAATGAGCCGCATAGTTCACCGAGCCAACGAGAGGCCGTTCCTCGCGTTAATGGACGCTTGGGGCGTCAAGACGACGTCAAAAAGAATCATCCTTCTCGTTAGAGAGAAACCGAGAAGAGAAAAAAGAGATACAGAGGAAAGGCGATTCAGACGATTACATGAAATTGCTGCAATCCAAATGTACCATCTGGCCGCGACTCGTTCGTCGCTCGGTGGACGCGCAGCGCTCGCTCACTGTGTGATGATGACCACAGCGATACACTTCGCACTGGGAGATATTTCCACCGAGCCCGCTCGAATCGCACGCTTAAATCTCTCTCCGTGCTCGTTACAGAACTTCGGAGCGACGAGGAAACACCGACCCCAGGCATGATCGGGAACAACCACGACAGCGAAGGGATGAACATACAGGCCATGCTCTTTAAAGCTATGTGGAATCAACAACAAGGTCCCGGTGCGCAGGACAACAAGGGACAAGGGTTCCCTCAGGGACTGGCCCTCGCGAATTTGCCCAGACTGGCGAACGGTCCTGCTGGACAGCAGTTTGCCGCCATGGAGCTCATGATGGGCCTGCAGCACAACCCACATGTCGCCGCTGCGGCCGCCGCGTACCAACAACAGCTGCTGCAGGCGGCTTCGTTGGCCCAGCACATGAAGGGCAAGGAGAACGGAGCCGAGCGGAACAGGTCGAGATCTCCCGAGCTGAAAACGAAAGAGTTCCGATCCCGGGAAAGCGAAAGTCCTGCCACGGGCGGCCACCATCAACGAAGCGATCACCACCAGTCGAGAAAGAGTTCGTTCGAGAGCGCGAAGAAAATCCAGAACAATAACAACAATAATAACATAAACTCGACACAAGTATCTCCAAACGCCCTCGCCGACGGCAACGCGCTAAACCTGTCTTCGGCCAAGGACAAGAAAAGATCACGTTCAGTCAGCAGTGACGAAGGAAGCCTTTCCGATGGAGCCCTTAGCGAGCTCAGCGGAAATTTAGACGATGACACCTCGAACTACGGAGACGATGACGGTGAGCAGGAGTAGATTCCGAATCGGAAAATTTGGGGACCGAAGTAAATTCACCTATTCGGCCACACTCGATTAGCTCACCGAGGAGTGACCGAAAAGTATCTCCCATGCGATGAGCGGGATTTCGCATTCTCGATTCTCGTGAATGAGCCTCCCTCCCCAGCCTGTAGAAGGGGAGGGCGAAATGCCCTCGGAGTCACCTCCTGTACATTCCGACTGTGCGTCATACTTTATCGTCCTTAATTGTTTCCAGAACTAGAGAAGGCGACACATTCTCCGAAGCGCGATCGTGAAGACGCACTGTCTACCTCCAGCCGAGACTCCGCTGCCGGTGTTCGCGTAATGCAACATGCCAACGGACTCGAACGCCACGCTAGGGACAGCAATCACAGTGTCCCCACACCGATTACTCTCATGCAGCAGCATCTTTCCATCGATAGGACACCTCCACCCAGTTCACCCACTCATTTAGGCGGTAATGCTGGCGGTGGCGGCGGCAGCAGCAGCACGGCCACCGCCAACCTCCCTAACGCGAGGCTCCATCACCACGGAAACAATGTGCATAATTCTGGTGAGTAGAGATAGCAGACGATAAACGAGGCTTTCCGCCGCTTTCCCTCAAGCCGCTTTCATATACGTACGGCGACAGCGGTGCTCTCTGGTCGTTTATCGAGTAAACGGTTCTAGCAATGACAGTGCTCGTCCGAATGACGTGATGATTTCTCCCACCGAACAAAATCAAACGGCTTGGCTCATGTCGTCTCGCATGATTATCGTTCGTCGAAGATCCTCTTTGCGTGGGTTGCGGCCGAGCAACGAACGTAGAGCAAGAACGGCAATGTCAGCGTGATCATGGAGAATTCTTCCTTGGGACTTTTCGGGAACTTTCTCGTCCTTCGCGTAATTCAGAGAATTCAGAGTCGATACCATCTCTTGAGATACGGGAAGGGGGGGGGGAATATCCTGGAATGGGGTCGATAAAGGCAGGGCGAAATTCCGGAAGACTAAACAACTGAAGAAATGAATTGTTCCTCTTGCAGTTGGAAGCCCAGTCGGCTCAATCGAGGCGCTCCTTCAGAATATTCTCGGCCTGCTAAAAGTGGCCGAAGAGAATGCCAGAACCCAGGAGCAGCAGAGACACATGGAGAAGGCCGAACTCAAGGTGGAGATCCTTCGTGAGAGGGGCATCCGAGAGCAATTGGAGAAGCAACTGCTGGAGGAACAGAACCGACGGATTTTCTACCAGAAAAGATTGCGACGCGAAAAGAGATGCCGTCGACAAATGCAAGAGCAGATCGACAACAAGCGTATCAAACTCGCTTCGGATTCGGTCGACGAAGAAAAGGGCGAAGATTCGGAAAGGGTTTCCAAGGCGACCGCTGCTGCCCCTGTCGAGAGTCCATCGACTGTAAATCTCAACGGAACTCTACCATCGTCGTTAGAGCCGGCGCTTTCCGCGATGGACGCCGCCGGCGCGTCGACGGTAACCGAAAGCCACGCCCGATGAAATCTGATGGCCAGCGATGACGATGATTTCGGAAAAATGCGGCGACTGAAAGTAGCCAGCTGGAATAATGAAACACACGAATAATGGAATGAATGTCGTTAACAATCAATGCTTGGCTCGACCGACGGGACGACGAATAATTTCCGAATGCCTGGTTTGACCGGTCTATCGATTCGTCGATACCAAGGGTCCTTCGCTCGATCGGAGGGTCAGCCGAGGCATTCAGACCTAGGCAAGGCAGAGAGAAGGAGAGAGGTAAAAACTCTCTCACCCACTCATTCATCCGTTCATTTTCCCGGTCTTTATCAATGCCATCAATCGATCACGTCATTATCCATTGAATCAATCCCACCCCCATCGATGAGCCATCCAATCATCTAATGATTTGATCGATCAATACTTCATCATCCAAGTCAGTCAGTCATTCAGTCAGTCAGTTGGTTCGACGAAACCGTGGAACAATCGTTGATCCTTCAGACGATCTACACGACGACCCGCAAGCGATCTTGAAGGATAACACACAACAAGGAACTTCAACGACAAACCAACCACGCAGCGCTTTCGCATCTTAGGCACATATCTGTGAAAATAGTCTTGATCATGGCGGCAACAGGGAAGCTTGACTTGATAAGCAGAAAATGGAGGCAACACGAATACCCGGTCGACTAGGTTGAATATTATCATTATTATTATTATCATCATTATTATTATTATTATATCATTGATATTATTACCGAGGCCAAGCTGACTTCTTAGAAACAAAGAATGAAACTCTGTAACGTGGACCGTCCATGGGATCGAGAGTTCTAGGAACGAGCAAAAGGCGGTCTTCGCTCCACTAGAAAGCAGTAAATGTTAGAGAGATTATAGCTGAGAGGAAAAATCTAAAAATCATGAGAATGTACTACTGTAATTATCAACGACGAATACCGAATCATCAGGGACAGCAACGATTATGATGCGAATGATGATTATGAAGATGGTAATAATGATAACTATTAATAAAACTTGAAGATATTGAAAATAATAATTATACTGATAATATTATTAGAGAATTCTTAGGAATGATGCCCTTGGCAGTGAGTTCAAAAATGGAGCCCGGATAGAGCAGAGCAGGAAACGAAACAATCAAGTCTGATCCAAATCGAAGAAGTCAGCGGCGGTCAATCCATGTTGCACGTTCTCACGCTCCCCTTCATGATCGACCGATTCTCCTGCTAATTGTAGAAGCAGCCACAGCAGTAATCAGACAAACAGCAGCTTACATACGAACGAACCACACTATTCGCGTGAGAATCCCAAGCAGTTTGTCTACATTTCTGCGAGACATCATTCGCTTCTCGTGTCGTCGATGGCGACATTAAGTATTGGAAGTTAGCGCAGCGACGAAGATAACCGAGGGAAAAACGAAAAATAAACGAGGTAAACTTCAACGGTCTCCTACGTCTCCAGCTTTGATCGCATGTATGTACGAGACCGACATGAGATTAGTTCAGTTTGATTTCTGACTTCTCACCGAAGCTAACAAGATGCAAGTGACCTCCTCTAACTCGAGTCCCATCTAGCGGCGTCCTCGGGACGATCACATGGGCCTCTAGTTCGAAGGATACGTAGGTAGCTCCAAGATCTTTAGCGTTAACGAAGTTCTGTCCGCGCGAGAGCAAACATAGACCGCATGGAGAGTCCCGTATAAGCGAGTCAAAAGATCCCTACGATCCGACACTTGACTGCTGGAGCTCCATACGTGACCCCGTGCGGTCCCGTCTTGGTCGCTAGTCCGGGAAGTCCAGGACTCCCGACACTCGTGTTTGGGGTCCTCCATCCCATCCGCGGGATCTTCGTGAGTGAATTCCCGGGCAGCCGTGGGGTCTGGATCCAATTTCGCACGCGGAGAGCTCGACGCGTTGGCCCTTCGACCATTTTGTCGATCTCGTCCGCGGAATTCTTGCGGCAATCCCTCGCCAATCCCACGACTCGATCACATTCCCGGGACAAGGGAGGTCGTGGATAAATTTCGCAGAATACCGTGCGGGACGAGAAGTCTCCCCGAAGAACGGATTCCCTTGCGATGGTCGTACCTTAGGATATCTTAAAGCTTTCAAAGATTAGGCTCCGAGTGAACTCATGAGAGCCAACACAAAGCCTTCGATTCCTCAGTCGAGGCCAGAAAGGGAATCGGAAGAACGAAGTTGAAACCCTCGTTTCGCCCCAGCCGCGCCGTCCGGTGCTCCGCGGAATACGTCCGCGTCCGTGGAGTCGACCGTATGAGGATCGATGCAGGCACGTGCGGAGGAGCGCGGACTCCTCCAGGAGACAGGAATACGGAATGATTCGTGTGATGGGGCTCATGATCGAATTCGATTAGTGACGATGCCGTTTCCCCGGACACTTCAGCCGATAATCCTCATGTTCGAACATTTTGAGGAGGAATTATCACAGTGGAGCCAGAAGTTCCCGTCTTCGGACAACGGTGGCGCCGCGCGTCCGTCCGAGGCTGCCCTGTGAAGAGCACTAAAGACCGACCGGTGGCGGCTTGACGAGCAGCGCAACCGTCGTTTTTCAAAGAGTAGTGACAATCTTTCTCAGTTTGCGCGGCCGAAATCCCAGAGATTGGAGATTCTTCCGAGTGAGGACTCGGAACCCATGTTCAGCCAGTGATTCGAATCCATTCCAGCGAAACAACCATGGTCTCGTCGAAAAGAAGTAAGCATCGAGATTTAACTAGTCCTTCTCGTCATCTTATCCGAGAAAGCTTGCCAGAGAATCGCTTGCTCTTCATTGATTCCCACTGATCGGATTTGGCTCATCTGCAGATCTGACAGCCCGTGGCAAGTTTATTTTCTCCCGAGCTTTGGAGAAACTGGATAACAGACCCCCGACAGTTCAAGAACTCCCTACCTACGAAATGTGCGACGCCACGGTCTACCGGAAAACAGTCAGTGATCTCGTTGTTGAGCAGATGCGCACAATGGGATACAAGGTGGGTTCCTGAGTGGATTGATTTAACAAATCCGAATTAGGACGAGTCTCGAAACTCACTCAAAACTTTGGTACCAGGTTGTACCTCCCCCTCAATGGGAGACCGAGCTGGAAGCCCTAAGAGATATAGTGAACAGGTTCAAGCACAATCCCGTAAGCCAAGCCGCTTTCAACCGATCTATTAAACAAGCGAGAGATCTTCTGGACCAGCTGAAGTCTGGTGTCGACAAGGAAAAATCTGACGAGGAATGGGAGGATGTGGACACGTCCGTTTCTTCGATAAGATCAGTCTCTTCCTGCAAGGGAGCTGCCAGGAAATCAGTCATGCTCAATGCGAAGAAGGTTGGTCTATGCCCTGTTTCTATCTGGAGCAATCATAGACTTTTATTCAGGAAGGATGTCACAACCGACACGAACTCGAAATTTTATCTCTCTCCCCGAGCAGAGTCTCAAGCAGATGATGCAGGAGAGTGCTAAGAAGTCGACGAAATTAGATCGAAGCAAGTCAACGAGGACGCTTAAGAACACATCGGCGAATGACACGCAAACCAGCAAGGGTGAGCATCCTCTCGACTATGCCTCAGAAGAGGACATGTCGCTGTTCCCGAGCGCCGGCTCCGAGAAAACCACGCAACGCAAACATTTTGCAGCTGTACCCATCCTCAAAAGTTTCCATTTCCAGGCGATAAGAAACCCCGGGCTCTGAAGCGGCAAGCGAGCTCGGTTGTCGCTTCGGAGGCGAAAAAAGACAAGAAAAACAGTACTCACGAAATGGATAAAACTGAATTTGCAAGGTATGGCTCAGATCTTGCAGCTCCTTGAGCTCCTTGAACATCTCGGTCCCCGTATTTTGCCTTCATCTCATGAGAACGACCAATGACACAGGCTCTTCTTCCCGAAGGTCACAGAATCATCGCGTTCAAATGGTAAAAGAACGCAAAGAAATCAAGGACAAGGAACGGAACGATCAGATTCGAGCTAAGCTGCAGCAGAAACAACAGACTTTAAAAGAAAAAGAGAAAAAAGACTCCGAAAACCGCCAAGATCTCGACGCAGAAGACTTCGGTGACGAATCCGAAAACGAGCAAGGCCGTGCCGGCAGCGCCTTCCGCCCAGGCAACGGATGTCAAGAAGGCATCCGTTGACAGATTCGCCTCGGGAACCTTCGCGAAACCGGCCGCGCCCGTCGAGCCGACCGGTGCTTCCACTGGGAAAAAAATTCTCACTGAAAACTCGTTCTTCGCGAGTAATGAGCATTACAATTCAATGCACGGGAAAGCTCTCGACGATCTGCGACACGGAGGACTCGCAAAGCAAGCGATGTTCCAGAGCATACTTGCCGCTGGTGAGGACGCTCAGAACGTGACGAAGATCAATTCTACTTTCTTGGTAAGCGCAACGGGGATTTTCTGCGACTGTGGCTCTTCGAAGGAGCTTCGTAGTCTCGGAATAGATCAGCTCATCGCCATTCGTTCGTTTTCCAGCCGGGAGTAACGAGTAAGCCGGATTTCGACGCTTCTCTGGCGATGAACAGAAAGGAAGATACATTCACGGTCGACGCGGTACCGAACGCGACGTACGTCTCGAAGCCCGGTTTCGTTCTCTCTCCGTCGAGAATGAACCAGTTGAAGGAGGCGGGTAACTCTGAAGGGTTCGTTGACAGTTTCAACGAAACGTTCAGAGATTACGGGCTTGAGGATCTCTGTTCGGATTCAGACAACACCGACGATGAGAGCGCGCCCACCAAACCTGTAAGAGATTACCGAATTCGACATCGAGGCATGATCTACCTTTCCATCATTCCCCATCTCGGGGTCTGATTCATCCCGCATTAGTTCACGATCAAAGTTTAGGAGCGCGAAGAGAATCGTTACGAATTCCCAATTTATGAATCGGATTTCCCCCGCAGGTTCCAAAGTGGGCAGAACTGAAAACTTCCCGCTTCAAGAACAAAGTCAAGGAGCAACGTATGCTAGGTCAAGATATCGAAAAGTACGGCCTCTTGGAAATCTACGTGCCGCCATTCGTCGATCTTGAGATGATTTTCGAGCGGAAGAGCAAACGCTTCGATCGCCACAACGCGTCGTCAGGCCTGTGGAACGACACCCAGGACTTCATTCGACAATGAGTCCCTCTCAGCCCCCCGCACTTATCCACTCGTTGTATTTGTCTGTTTCTCTATCTACTCATCTGTCTCAATCAAGTCGTTGCTTTACGTCAAATGAATGGGACCGTACAATAAAAGCACGAAGAATGTGCTTGATGAAATCCTTTCCGGATTCTTTTCATTGTATTATGTATAAAGTATTCGCGAAATCGGTCCAACGTATGAGTGCGTGGAGGGCGAGAAAGTGGAAGCCGCTTTTTGGACTTAGTGGAAGCTCAAAGATCCAGCGAACCCCGAAAGCTTGCGTTGATTTTCCCCGAGCCTCTGCGCCACATTCATCGGAAGATGAAGACAGACGGGAGTCCTTCGCTGTTCAGATATTGGATGCGGAGTCCCCCTGGGTTAAGCGACAGAGCCGGAATCCGTCGGGCTGAGTCGATTTCCGAAGAGCAGAGAATTATCCCCACGGAAACCCACAAAGTGAGTCCTACTGCCAGTCCACCGGGAGTTCCTCGCGTTGTTATCCACGGATTAGGTATCTCCGGGACACGTAAAACAATTATGAGTCAATCCTGAAGCTTCATACTTATCCGATTGAGCTGTCGTATCGGCCAGGTACCGGATTCCCGAAACCCGTTAGCCCGGTTGCACCTTCGCTCCTCCTAGTGGATTTTTTTTCCGGAGAGCTCCCGAGTCTTAGGACAAAGGGGTGTCGGGCATCTGGGTTCGTGCCATCTTGTCTATGTTCACACCTACGCAAAGGTCTCGCAACCGCCCGAGAAAGGGCGGGATCATTTCGTATCGAATCATCAGAGATGTGAAAGCGATCATGGGCACCCACTTCTGGGCGCAATCATGGGCTGTGACCGCGTTCTCGATTCACTCACGGTGAGTGACGAGGCATTGCTTTGGGCGAGCTCTTACAGCATACATTCGGCGTACGATTCGGCTCGACCCGGTTCAGACGCATCGCCTTCCGTGAAATTACTGCTTGAAGTCGCAAATCGAAGCCCCCGTCGGCAGTCCTCTGAAGTCTCGAATGTACTCCGTATTGAATCGATTCCCCCGCCAGGTCCCCCTCGCGAGCTCGGGTTCTCGGAATGATCCGAACAATGCTCCCGGTAATGCGTGAGATCGATCGGCTCTTCCCTCCAGATGGGGACCGGCGCGAGGCAATTTCGAATACCGGCGCGCAGTGTCTATCCCACAACAAAGATGGCGACTCTCCTCGCGTGTATCCGCGCGTCTTCTCTGACTTCTCGGTAATTCGACTTTTTAAAAAGGGAGACTTAATCCCTGGACTATGTGACCCGGTGTGGGGTTCCCCGAAACAACCTGTGGTCGATTGCATAAAGGGATCTTTCCTCATAGGCCCCTCGGAGCCCTAGCGAGCGTTCGTTTCTTCTGCGACAAAGACAACAGCGATGGACACGATACACCTCCGCAACGGGAAAAAGTCACTCTGGATCATCTATTGCAGCAGACAGTGGTGAATTAAGATAAAAGACAGAGATTGCTGGACAGTTCAAGTCGAGTTGCGCGTATCTCAGTATCTACTGGCGGTAATGCGGTAAAGAGGAACATCTTCAGACGATCCTCCCTCTGCGACGTCGGACCATAGATGTCCAGAGAGATATCCGCCGCGTGGGCTAGACCGCTGGGTCGGCGCCTCCGTGGCCGGATTGCATGTGCATCCGCTCAGGGGCTGCGGGATTCCGGGGAACAGGGACGGAAATTCCCGCGCTCGATATTTCCTGCGTCTCCACTCCTCGGATACGATTTTCGAAAGGCCGGAACTCTGAATAAGAAATTCTTTGCAGATACAAAAGCCATATGCCCGAATAAAACTAGCATCTGTCAAGCCTCCGAGGGAGCCTCCACGCAAGGTGTGTGGTCTTCAAGCATTCCATTTACCTGCGGTCAATTAGCAGATTCATACACCTGCTCAATGAAGGACGCTTTTTCCTGCCCCTTAGGTGCCGAATCTTGATGCGAAGACAGTGCGTGCAGCTCAGAAGGCTGCCAAGGAACTACAAGGCGATGCCGGGAAAAACGCGGAAGAGCTCTTGCGTAAACTCTCGGATATTTCCGATGAATCGCGGGCAAACCTCCAGTGAGTGTTCTGCAGTGCTCTCTGTCCGGTAGGCCGATCGGTGGTCGCGACGGTGCAGATCGCTGAACGCTAATTCACCGCTGATCTGTTCCGTTTCTCAGGAATGTCATCGTCGGAATGAAAATCGACCGCAAGGCCGACGCGCCGTTGATCGATGGGAACGCTCTCAGCGCTGACGAGATCGCAGAAACGGTGTTGTTCGGAAGAAGCGAGCCGGGACAACATGCTCGAAGGCAACGAGGAACATTGCGGGGAGAATCCTTGGAAGAGCGTAGAAAGCGTGTGGAGAATTTCGATCGGGAAAACCGTGGGGAATCAACTCCGTTCGAAATCTACGGCAAGGAGCGTCTGAACGTATTTTCCGCCAAGGCAGAAGAGCCCGCAGATCAGGTCCAACGTGAGCGGCCTTTCTCGGATCTTCTCAGCGAGCTCGAGCTCAAATCTTTGCTGGAAGCTTCTCCACGGGACGGTTTCGAGGAGATGATCCGATGGACAGAAAGTGGCAAGTTGTGGCCATTCCCGATCGACAATGAGCACGGTAAGATTCACAGCCGAGGATACAAATCCCAATGTTGACCCCGAGACACCCGGCGATCTTGGAGCTCCCTTATAAATCTTCTTAGACGGACCATGTGCTACTACTATACTCCATGACAATGAGTAATGCCCACAATTTCTCAGGGATGACCGAGGAGGCCGACGTACCGTTCGAGGACCACGTGTTCCTGGATCATCTCATTGAAGATGACCATGCCTTCCCGAATGGACCCGTGAGGCAATTTATGGAGCTCGTGTGCATCGGACTTTCCAAAAACCCGTACATCAGCGTGGAACGCAAGCACGCATGTATAGAATGGTACAGGGACTATTTCACGCAAAAGAAAAGCTTCATCGAAGCTGCCGTGGAAAATTGAGATGTGCTCTGGTGCTGGCGTAAAAGGCAGCGTAATAGAAGACCGCACATATAAGTTCGCGATTTGCGTATATCAATAAAAAATTCAGATGAAGAAAGCACGAAGTCGGCATCCTTTACTCAGTATCATTTTGAGCCATGTGAGATGAGAATAATCCAGGAGTTTACAACTTGTATCCAATCGACAATCGTCCCCAGTGATTCGCTCCAATAAATAAAAAAAAAAGACCTCCGGAAATGGAGAGTCGATCGGGCTGAGCAGAATCCACACTTTTCGAAATGAGCGGTTTCTCTCATCACTCGACTTGCTTCACAATTCATCCGACATTCACTCCATGCGGCTCTCGAGAAGAGCCCGCGCACTCTGCATTCACTCGGTCTGCATTCCTTCCTCTTCGGGCTCGGCATCGCTTTCCTCCAGCTCTTCCTCGGTCTTCTCCTGAGGCTTCTCGTACGCGGGCCCTAATGGAGTGATGACGACCCCATTGAAAACGCATGTGTCCTTTTCGATTGCCTCGCCACGCTTGCAATCACCCAAAACAGCTTTGAAGTTTCCGTGAAGAAGATGACGAGCGAGGTTCTGAGCCGTCATGCAGACGGTGTCCTGCTCCTCTACCGTCATGGCTGTGTGGACTCGGATGACATTCAACTCGCAAGGATCTTGGATTCCGCAAGACCCTGGTGTGAAGAGGCCGCAGGCTAATAGCTGCAGGACGCGTTTATAGGCCTCAGCCAACGGCAGAGGCGCTCCGTCGATGGTGTTCATGAGAGAGTAATGACCTGAGAAGAAGTAAAGCCGGTCAATGAGATTGAGGACTCGGGAAAAGGGAGTTTCTATCGAGCAAATATTCGTTTCGTGCCCGTCAGCTCCGAGAACAGAAAATGTACTCACAGAGAAGATCAACCATCCAGGGGTTCAGAGGCTGGAGCCCTTCGAAACGATTTCTTAAATCCCTTATGAGGCGGATCAGGATCTTGACGGTGGGCTGGTTCTGACCGTTGTCGTCAAACCAACGAGCGTGCCGCAGAGCTGCCAAATTATTTTGGACGAGTCGCTGTGGTACTGAGAACCACAACGGCTCGCGGATTAGATTGAGCTCAAATCGAATTTGCTACCGGACCCCTGCGGGGGTGGACAATTTCGCTGTTCATCGATTGACAGGTCGACACAACTTACGATGGAGATCAGGTTCGAGTTTCCGCATGTTCGGTGGCACTGTGGTGATCAGGCAGCGCGCGGAGAAACCATTGCTATCGGAATTTATGGTGAACCCACAGGGATCTTTGGTGAGCGACACCTCCAGGGTAGCATCGGAACTCTTGAGGTCCTCTAGGATCTTCGGAAAGAAGTCCAGTTAAAACAAAATCGAAATTGAGATGATTCATGGGGGAGCCGTTCGCACTTGCTGGGATTCGGGTACCTCAATCGGAGGGACACTCACTTTTTGGCCTAAGCGCATCACAGCTTCTTCCGTGGGCAAAGTCTTCAGGAGAATGACGAAGTCGGCGGTTTTATGTCCGGCGATCATTGTTCCTTTCCGGTATGAGCCGACCTGACGAACCTCTTCGATTTGACACGAGTCGAAACCTTTCGGATCCACGATAATCTGATCGAGAACCTGCGCAGCGAAGGTCGGAATGTCGCCGATAAGTTTATCATTCGAAAAGGTCGCCGGCAGTTAGCGATCATTTTGAGGAGTCTCGGCATTCGACAACTTACGCTTTGAACCTTCGTCACAAGGTTGAGGAGAGCTTGCTGTTCCGCCTCCGGAGGTGTGAGGTCCTGATTCTTCTTCAGAAGAGCCGCCGCGAGCTCGGAGTCATCCCACGCAGCGGAAACCTTCTGGAATACCAGCCCCGTCTATGCAACGGAGAGAAATGAGTTGTTATTATCAAAGAATATACTCATGATCAGCGACTTGATAATCACGGAACGGATGCGAGCAATAAATCGGGGCGTCGCAAAGCGATGACATTTCCGGCACTCACCAAATGTAAATCGAACGGTATGTGGGGAATGAACTGTTTTTTGAAGAACGGTCTTGGGCCTATGCCTCGACCCCCGCGCATCACACCCCTCATGGTGTCTGCCTGCAATCGGAGAGGTTCCCGCTTAGGATAATAGTCGTGTCTCTGCCTTCGTTGTGGAACTTCCCCATCGAATTCCTCCGGTCGACGACAGGAGATCCTTCATTTTTTCCGAGTGTTAGTCGACTCCCACAAGCCGAAAGCTGTCAAAGCCGGCAGCCGGCACGACAGCACAATCCGAGCCTCTTCCCGCCCTTGACTCACTGGGAGCTCGGGGAAGTCTCGTCCGAGGCTCGACGATTCAGCACCCCACGGCTCCCAGCTCCCGTGAATTCCGTGCACAACCTTCTGAAATCGTTGAGTACTCACGTCTTCCTCGTCGATTGGAGATACGAAAATTACCCGGGTGCCGCGTCCTCAGCGCGACGAGGCCGGCTTGAAGAACTTAATGAGAATCACTCCTGGTGTTGGAGTGGGAGTAGGACCGAGGCTCGAATCCGGCTGGGGTCTCTTGTGAGTTCCAAGGAACTTCCAGAGCAGCTGCTTCAATTGCGGTACTGTCTTTGCTTCTTCGGTAGATACCAACGCACCATCCGGCTGCTTGAAGCGCTTCATCGTGGGCTGGGCTAAGCACCAGCGCGAAACAAACCCTCTCCACTTCAAGCGTGGCGCGCGAATGCCCTGCAGCATCATAGAGAGCTGGAAGAGTGGACTCTAATTGCGACATCGGGACCGCCGGTCCTCCGATGAGCTTCTCAGGAACTTCGATACGGCCGCTTCCAGACCACAAAGCAGTCGGATCGGAGTTTCTTAGCGGCCCACGGCAGTCATGTCTCTTGGAACGGCGGATTGTCGACGGGTTGGCGGAATTGCGCTGTCTTTGCCATTATGTGCCGCACTTACCAAATAGGTACAGTACGACCTGACCTCGTCTGTGTTACCCTCTCGTGAGATCATTTTAGGAGACGCCGCTATTGCCTCGGGAATTGACCCTGTGAAGTTGAAACGCAACTCGAGAGAAACGGGAAGTGTTTCCGAAATCTGCAGCCTGCCGATGCTCCTAGTTTCAAGGTATCAATATGGAGGAGCTAGTTTGCCAAGCATCATCTGTGATCAGTAGCGTTTGCAGGATTATTTTGGGGGTGGAGGGGGGCAGACTGGGTTTTCTCGGGGCCAGGGGTCCAAAATGATGAGGCACCCTGTAGTCATGCATTACGGAAAAAAAATTCCCCCTCCCCCCCTGGTTACGCCTCTGTCTGTGATGGATGCAAGCCCTGATCGGCCATCGCTACTCCTCTCATCGTCATAGATCTAGAAGTTGAAGAGGGAGAAAACCTCCGGGTCAGGTACTCCAGTCGCAGGCGGGGCGGAGGAGACACAAATTATCACTTTCACCGAGGAACTCCAATGTCTCGTCATGATGTCAACGAGCTTCGGAACCAAGGCTAAACCGGAGTTATTGCTCAATCCCCACCCCTCAAGATGCGGAATCTGCACGGGTTTTTATTCTGGCGTCAGCGAAGGCTCCTTGGAATATCATTCGGGGCTAGTGACTGTCCCCCTCCGACCGAGATCGATACATTCACCCTCCACAGAAGAGAATTCACCTTTTACGGGAATCTTTGGAATCATGTGTTCCTGAACTTAGGTATTCCTATTGCCTCCAACGACGAGATCTCGTGGCTGGATGGAGGCGGAGAGCCCATGAGAGACTGTGACGATGATGCTGGAGAGATTTGAAAATGCAGGAGAATGAAAATAGTGACGTCAGAGTCCTCCTCCATCATACGTCGATGAAGGTCAGTCATAATTCCCTTCTGTGATTGATCGCTGCTAGACTTTCGTCGAACCTTGCGACCCTGATTCCTCTTCGCGCAACTCCGTGGTCATATCATCTCATGCTACACCGAATTCTCAACCCACACCTCAGTTCATAAGTGCTATCCGCGCATGATCGAATTGAATGATGCTTCGAAGTTACTGAAATCGTCGACGTTCAATCGACGATCTGCGCCACGATAAGATTTGCGATATCGATCATACAGCCATGCCTCTGTTGGGGATGCTCGCCAAGCGGGCGTGTTCTCGAAACACCACATCCTTCAGGCCTCTCGACGCCCCTCTCCAGACGCGTCCCTTCAGAGAGAGCGGTCCGAGGTTTCACGAGTACCAGAGAGAAGGTCGAAAGCCGCTGTTTTCGTTTTTTTAGTGGGGTTCCGACCGACGCCCAACCAGACTTTAGTTCCTCGAGGAGACGCGTCCAGAAAAGCAGTTTCGGAGATTTCGTCACTTCGAAAAACCACCGTGGAAACATCGATAATGGACACTTTGTCTCTCAGGGTTCGTATCATCATTCTCCTAGCGCGGAAGGTCTTTTATGAGAATGTTATCGCCCCGGATGACTTCTGGCTCGAACAGGAATCAACTCTACTCTTCGAAGCCTGATGGCATCCTTTTGCGCCCTACCTATGTGTCCAGAGTCTACGAAGGAAAAGTATTGTAAACGCTGGTAACTCCTCCTTCACGGATGAAGCTCCAAAGCTATACAATACAGCGTTACCGCCGAATTCAAGTCGCGTTTGTTCTCTCTACGGTTGCGATTTTGTTCGATTTTGAGTCTCAAAAGCGTCCACGCAAGCTCTGATGAGCAAATCGTAGCGACTCTCATTCCAGAGATAAGCATTTTCGCCGCGCACACAACCCGATTCCCGCCCAGATGCTTCATCGACGCTCTCTTTACGGTTTGATGCCTCGGTGGGGCTCGAGTTCTGTGATCGAATAGGGACTGGACTGATTGCTCTACTCAGGGAGCGCTGTCCTGGCCCCGTTGATGATGAGTTCTGACTGCTCTGATCTCAGGGTTTTTGAAAGCATCTTTTGAGCGGGGCAGGGAGCCGTGATCAATTTTAGCTGGGACCTACCTGCTACTAGCCAAAGTATTCAAAGAATCTCTTGACCGATTCCTGCTCGACCCGGCAAGGTACCTCATTTCGAAGCCTTTCTCTCCTTCCTCAGCTGCAACAGGACATCCTGCTCAAGTTAGGCCCTCTCGATAGATTGAGCGCTGCTCTGACGTGTCGACAGTGGGCTGAACTCACGTCCGGATCATCTTTACTAAGAGACGTGGTTTACCGCATCCGGGAGAGCACGAGAGAGGAATCAGCCCCCCGCATCATGATGCAAAGTCGGCGGGAGTACAGGAACCTCGAAGTGAAGCAGGGTGAGTCATTCTCGCTCATGCCGATTTCGGATAACGCACGACCTTCGGTGACGACCTAGCTTTAGCTCTGGGAAATCTCGGTCGGACGCACAGGAGGAGCGCGGCTACACTGAGAGGAATTCGGATGGCACATGTATTTCAGGCGGACGGGTAATTTCGTCGGCGAATCCCTTCGCTTGTGCACGAACCTGGAGCGTATGTAAGCCTCGGGAGTCTTTCCCTAAGCAGCGCCACTCGCCCTGATTTCCAACAGCCTATTTTTCAGCGAGGCTTCTTGACTTCGACCACCGGTTCTGGACCAAAGTCGGAGACCATCTCCGAGAATTGCAATTCATCAGATGCCCTTGGTCATCCCGAGAATTTTATTGCGTTCTTGAGCATTGCAAGAAGCTGGAATATCTGGAGTACTCTGGACTAGGTAAGCTTCGTTCCTAGGACCTGAGTTGCCGAAATAAGCCTTGTTTCACAAGTTCGTCGGGGGCTCTGCACTCCAAGTCACGCAGGGGACAGCTCAAGATGCTCCGAATGTGGATACGGGGATTCGGCCTGTGGTAGCAGAATATTTTTTGAGCACCATCGAGTAGTACAGCGCAACTTCCGCGCAGAGATCATGGTCAACATCCTCAGGGCTTACAGGGCTCCGTGGGCGAAGAGAACTGGTCTCACCAGAACGAGCGGGAACCCATTACGAACTTCAAAGATCGATATGTGACTACGGTGCTAGAGGCGGGGAGTTTGTGTGAACTGAGGCTTCTTGATAATATGCTGGATAACGCGGGATATGCGGGTGAGGATTGAGGATTTTTCAACGACGGACCAGGAAACTCCTATCACGTATTTCGTTCCAGGCGGCGACCTAGGGCTCGGCCCCAAACTCGAGGCTCCAGAGGACACCAATCTCGACAAAGTCCGCCAATCCTCGTCCCGAATTCGACATCTTTCTCTGAAAGATATGGCAATGTCAGAAAAAGGACTCGAGACTTTGCTCAAATGTCTGCCCAACCTGACATCTTTATCCCTCTTCCGCTTCGCCGCGGACGCCGACTTGAGAGGCGTGCTGCGCAGCTTATTGAATTCGAAGCAGAACTATATGAGACTTAGGCTCCATAACAGGAACACCGACTTTACCGTGGGCGAAATCATCAAGAAAAACGCTGGAACCTTGCTCCACTTGAGTGTTTTCGGTGTAACGCAGGATATTCTCGACGCAATCAGCACTTGCGGCAAACTGAAGCATTTGCGGCTCGCAGAGGATCGGAAATTTGTCCGAGATTCACATATTCGGCAAATCACTCTCACGGCTCCCAACCTCGAATACTTGGCCGTGGATTCTAGGAAAGTGACGCAGGCCGTGTTTGAGCAAGTGGGCGTGCTTAAGATGCTCCGGGATCTCTCCGTCGCCCCGCGTTTGAGACCTGAGTCGATACGGCATCTGGGGAGCATCAGAACTCTGCAGAATTTCAAGCAACCGGTCCCAGCTTGCGATCTCGAGACCTTGCGGCCGCTGGCGAACCTCCGGGATTTGCGAAGCTTGAGACTGGGCGAAGCGGAGTGGACGCCCGAATCCTTCGAATGGATCATCGAAAACTTCCAGAAATTAGAGCAGCTGTACGTAACTTCCTATCGGCTGCGAGATTGCGATGGCGAGAAGCTCCATCTCCTGAAAAACCTGAAGCAATTGACTATTCTTGATGCTTCGGGACTGACCGACCACACTTTCGAGAGAGGTCTAGGACCGCCGGAGCTGAGAGAAGTCCATATCCATCACGCTCCGTTAACAGATGTTGGTCTCGTCTGCATGGTGACTCGTCATACTTCTTTGAGGATTCTGGGTTTTACCGATTGCCAACGCATAACAGACGAGGGACTAATCTTCCTCCTCCGCAATCAGCCTCGCCTTCGAGTATTGATCGTGCCATCAACCAATATAACGGATGCTAGTCTCAGAGAGCTCGAAAATCTGTGTCCCCATCTGGAGTTCCTTGAGGGGAGTTCACGGATGACCAAAGATGCTCTTCTGTCATTCTCTAGTCAAAGACCCAGTGTAGAGTTATACGGAGCATGAATAAATTTCCGCGGAGCCAATGATTCCGAGTAGAGTGGAGCTTTGAAATACAATGAGCCTCAACTGCCATTACATTCTACATTGGTGATTCTAACCGGGGGCTTTTTTTTTATGGAGGTTAGGGAGAAATGCGTTTACGCACGCACGGGCCGAGGTGATGTCAACGCTCTCGGGGACCTGCAGTGTAGGACTCGCACCTTGCGGTGAATACCCACTAAAAACGGCTGAGCGGCTGGCCGCGCGTCACCTAGAGTTGGGGCGGCCGTCTGCGCGAGTCGCCATTCATCGTGTATGCGGTCCTTCCGGGCGATTATTGCCCATGCGAGGCCAGCCACCGACCTCCACTCCTCCGAGCCCCTGAGCATGTATGATACCAGCTCTGGACACGAAGCGCCCTCCGCAAAGTAGGAAATTCCGAAATTCTCCGAAATTCTTCTCTGATGTCTAGCGTCCCGTCGCAGACCGTGAAGCTGTGTGCGGCGTCATCCTCCTCCCCCGAGGCGCACAGCACGCAAGCCGGCGAGTCCATCTTCCCGATGCGGAACAGGTATTTGGCGAAGGAGCCGTTTCCTGAGAGAAGCTGCGCGAGGGGTTACGAGAGGTTGCCGTGCTTCCGGTCGAGCCAAGGGCCCAGATCCGGGATGAGTCGGGACGTCCAGTATCCTGGCTGGCCGGGACCTATCCCCGACCACCTGAGCTGCCAGGCGGCAATCGCATCTTCCCTCGTGAAAGAGTCGGCGTCGGACCCTTCCCCGTCCCTGTCCTTCCTTGCGAGGATCAGCCGGGCGCGGAGATCGAGCGGAAGGGTGCCCGCGATTACCTGCGCTGCGACCGTGGAGGTTGTGCGGTTCACCCTAGAAACCCGGATGGACATGGGTCGTTGGGCTCTGTCCAGCATTCTTCTAACGGTCTTCTTACGGATAGTCTCCGCCCAGATAGGGGCGGCGTAGAGCACTATGCTGTCCGCGGCGGTGGTCCCCGACCCTCCGGCGGTGGTCCCCGACCCTCCGGCGGTGGTCCCCGACCCTCCGGCGGTGGTCTCCGACCCTCCGGCACCTAGGATGGAGCCGTGCGATGGCGTTCGCCGCCATGAGGGCCTTCTGCGAGGCGTATCGAACATGCGGGGTCCCCGTGAGGCCCTGATCCAACATGAGGCCGAGGTATTTAACGGTTCGCTGGAAGGAAATCTCGTGGCCGTCTATCTCCAAGTGGATATCCCGTTGGGGAAGATGCTTTCTCCCGTTGAGGAAGAAGGCAACCGACTTCGCCGGGGCGAGGACGAGGGAGCGCGTCCTCATCCAAGCGCTTATGTCGCTAAGAGCACAGTTCATCTGTTGTTCCGCTGGGTGATGAGAACGACAAGATCGTCGGCGTAGGCGACCGAGGTGACGTTCGGAGGGTGGGGGAGGCGGAGATCCCCGTCGTAAACGACATTCCAAAAGGTGGGACCCAGGTTTTAGCCCTGAGGAACCCCAGCCGAAACCGGGGACACCTCGCCCTGAAAGACGTTCGAACGGAGGGAGAAATAGCTGGAGATGCAGCGTCGGAGATACAGTACGGGGAAATGCCCGCGTTGAGAAGACTATCATTGATGGCGTCCCAAGACGCCGAGTTGAAGGCGTTTTTAAAATCCAGAAGAACCGCCACACAGTGCCCCCGTGACCGAAGGGGAATCGCCCGTTGGCGAGCGGCAACCTCGAGAATCTCCCTAATCGCCCCCGCCGTCGACCGGGAGCCCCTGAAACCGTACTGTCGATCCGACAGGATGCCCTTCTCATCGAGCTCGACAACCAAGCGACTGTGGAGGAAATGCTCCACCGCCTTGGAAATTCCTGCAAGGCAACTGAGTGGGCGGAATGAGTTAGAGCCGGGCTTGGGAATGAGAACCAAGCGAGCCTGCTTCCAGATCGACGGCCACTTCCCTGAGCGGAGCACGACGCGGAGCATTTCCTTAACGGTATCGGGATGACAGGCTATGAGAGCCTTGGTGGCCTCCGAGGGAACCCCATCGGCACCCGGGGCCTTCCGGAGACGGATGCGGCCTTTGATGTAATCGAGCTCGTGGTCCTCAATCTCGGGGAATGGAAAGGTCTCGTCGGTACGGAACCTCACCACCCGAGGATGGGGGTGCCGAGGAAATAGGTCGGAGACCGCCCGCCCGGCGACATCCGGGTCCATGGCCGTCTGGGGACGCCTAAGCTTTGCCGTGACAATCTTGTATGCCTTCCCAAAGAGATGAGTTCCCTCTCGGAGCTCCTCGAGGAGGGCCCCCAGCAACTCGCTTCACTTGAGGCGATCTCGCGTCTGAGGCCTCTTCTCGCTGCTATTAATTGTGTCTCAAGGCTCTCAATGACGGAAAAGTCGGCCGAGCGCCGGGCTCCCGTCACCGAACTCCTAGCCCGGATGCAGTTCCTGCGGAATGCGGCGACCTCCCCTCAACCGGGGGCTAGGAGGCCCCAAACGGGACACGGCGGGTTTTCGGGGGGCCGCGCGGGATCTCGAAGCAAATCGCATGTCATATCGCGTCAGCGTTCAGTGTTCCTCCTTCCGCGAGGTCAGAGGCCAGCCTTTTCGTCGGTCGTAGCATTGGAAATCTTGCACATCCGGATGCACATCATGTAACCTAATTTTCGAGGCTCGCGAGTAATGTCATCATTAGACCCCGTGACTTCATGCAAAATGCATATATTGCTTAAAAATGCATATCCTGGGCTTTTTCTCCCGAAAATGCACATTCTGGGCTATGAAGCATAATTCTGCATATCCCATATTTTACCCGCCGATTCTCGCGGTAATGCAACTCTGTAAGAGCGACGTACAGCCACCCCAGCCAGTTTCGACAAGATGGGGTCCTTGGTTGAACGCGGCGGCTTATAACGCCGACCACTTCGATCCATTCTCGAAGGTTTTGGACGCTTTGGACGTCAGTGACGCTGCGAGCATCGGAGCGGCTGCTCAAATAGTGAGGGAGCCCTCTGTGAGGGACAATCTCGCTTTTATAAAAGCTCTCACTTCGGAGAGCTTCCGCATGCCATCGAGAAACTGGAAACGGAGGGACTGTCTGTGGTAGAAAGCGTGGCTATCGTTGAAGCGCTTGTGAGAGGTCTCGAGAAAACCCGGTGATGTCGGGGATTCGGTCCGTAGGAAATGCGATGCGGTTGGGATTCGTAATGGCGGCTTCAGCATTCTGAAGGATATCTCGGCCGTACTCCACGGGGGTAGCCCCGCGGATCGTCTTATTGGCCGCGACCCGTCGGAGATTGCCTGCTTCAAGTACGCATCGATCACGTCGGTTGATGTTTAGAGGAGCTTCGCTGGTTTGAAGAAACTTCTCAGCGACCGTCGTCAGAGTTTTTTACGTTTGAAGAGTTGAAGATGCATCTCGTTGTCTACTGTAACCCGTAATTTGAATTGTGCCTTCATTAAACGGGATTGAGTCAATCTCAAAAAGCATCATAAAAGCTGCACGAAGCTCTTAATTTTTGCGTGCATATTTCTTTTTTTCTATGCATATATCGGCCCTTTTTCAGGGCATATTTGCATGCATATGTATGTCCCGATTTTTTTTAGGGCATGAAGTTACGGGCTCTGGTCATCATTATTCCACCGTGTATGGGACCTTGACTTTCTCCCACAAGCGCCAAGGGGGCCTCAGCAGAGGAGAGCTTGCGAGCCACTGTTCCAGGATCTAGTTCATACGGCCGGCTCCTCAGGTTTAGATTTCCCGGCGATCTCCTTTCCGGAGAAGTTAGGGAGTTGTGGTGTAGGCTCAAAGGGAAGATCTTGTCAAAGATATGAGAGATACAGCTCGGACTTCCGCCTCCGAGGTTCGCCTTGCGTCTAAAATCACACTTATTGCGCAAATTGCGTCAATCTGAGTAAAGGGTCACCTCGCTGGACATGAGCGAATATCGCGCTCCGACAAAGACTTCTTATCCAGTATTCAGGGTGTTTTTGATCATAGCTTTTTTCCATGGGTAGGTAAATGTGAGCTGGGAAAGACCGCATGCCGACAGGTCATCGAAGTATGATTACCATGAGGATATGACGCATGAATCATGAAAGACGCATCGATCGAGTTGCTCCTGTTGATATGGAGGATTTTGGAAAATGCCAAGACAACTTGCTCGAGTAGCTTTTCATCAACCACCTGAACCGAGGTTCTGTACGAATTCAGCTCCTCCACTGAGTCGCAAGCTCACGAGTGCGAGCGTGGGTACTTGCTCACGGCTGCCGGCAGTGGGCAGTATTGGAGACTGTGGAGAATCTGGGCGGTGGGGCTAATTGATAAAGATCCCGAAAGAGCTTTCATCTTGGTGGTAGAGCGCCAATCTCTCCATACTTCTCTCAAGGGAGACATGAGGCTGCTCTCGGACCGTGCGCTTCTCGTCGGGTCTAGGTTTCCGCCCAGGGATCTCTTTTTCCCAATTAGCCCAGTCGTCAGTCATTATTCTGACCGAGAAAACTTAAATATGGGAGATTCCCTGACCAGGATTTGCCCCGCGCGTTGGGAATATCATGGATCGAAACTCTGCTAGATTCAAGTCCAGCTCGGTCCATTGAATTCGAGGAGAAGGCTCCAACATAACGCTCCGACCGGGTCCGGGAAAGAAAACATTTTTCCCACCGTGCCGCTTCCTCCGATGAGCGGGGAAATCATGCCCTTCATGGTATATGGGAACGTCGTTTCCTTGCTCCAAGGCGATTAAAGCGATCGCGAGATGCACCGCCCGCTGGGCCAGTCGCCCTGAGAGCGCTCGGGTTGCTCACTGCATGACTGACGAGAAACCCCTTCATCAGATCTCTAATTCAGAGTTCGGAGTGAGAACCGCGCACTCGATAGCGGCTGTCTGGAGAACAATGGTAACAAGAGCAAGCTCGTCGGGCCGTCGGACAGCAGCAGAGAGGAATGTACCACAGCGTGCCACACATACGAGGAGTTATGGAGAGAGGAGCCGCTCGCCCGGCGGAACAGTTGAGGTTGAGATGTAAGTCCGAGATCGCCTAAAAATTCCCCTCCAGATGGGGTTTGAGCATTTGGCGGGGCGAAGGGGCTTTCCCGGAGGGTTTTCGAAGCAGGAGTCCGTCCGAGGACTCGTGCTCTCGAAAGGAATCGATCGAGGCACAACAGTGGTGGAGACTCCGCGCTTTTGCCCTGTCGTCGCGAGCTCCACCGAAAACATCCGATCCCGCTGACAGGCTGATCGGCTTCCTTATTGAGGCGCCTAACGGGAGAATTTTACAACCGACATAGTTCTAGCAGACACCCATTGTAGACATCGCGCCATTTCCGTAGAGCGATACGCTCTCCGTGGTGGGAAACAGGTTCGTATACATGGGAGAAGTGATTGAGAGGGGAGGAGGAGGCAGATTTCGTCTGCTGTCGGCAGAAGCTTCGGCTGTTGCACATCTCTGCCGTGTGGAATTACCCGTTCTCGATGTAGAGGCCGGCGTGAGCTCTCTAACGAATATGCCTCCTTGGATTTTGGAAAGTGCAAAGTGCAAGTAAGGCAGGCACCATGGCCTATGCCCAGAACGGTACCGCGATCCCGGACGAAATTTCTGTAAGCGAACAAAGAATAATTGACGGAGTGGTCTAGGGGGAGGGGCGATGAATTCATCTGACATCTGCACGGTGCGAGAAAGCACGCTCCGCATGGGCAACTCCACTCGGGGCGAGATCGGCCGGCGGTCTGGGAGAGCTCGATGCAGAATCGGAGAGTAGGAGGAAGTCCGTCGAGGCGCACAAAAAGCTCATGATAGCATGCGCGATCCTCTGCCGTCTCACAGCCTCCAAACTCGGGAGGATGTTCTGAGCGGAGGCGATTCTATTGCAAAATAATCATCGATGAACTCGGAGCTTGAAACTCCTCATCCAAGGGAATCGAGCGATCACCGACGAATTCCTGTGTCCCTCGGGCCCAGTTTTGGAATGGAGTTTCCACCCCGACTCGATGTTTCGGACGGCGTCAATGGCGCGGCGCGAGCTCTACCTGATGTTCAGAGTCTTGGGGGGATTACTCGATTGTGATGTGTCGAATTCGGAAAGATCTCCGGTTTCGTGACAATCCGAGGAAGCCGCTTGGAATGCGCCTGTAGGGGGCCGCCACAACGCCAACTGAAATCATGATTCCTTGAGACGTCTCGACGGTCAGTTGCCCAGAAGGGACTTGAGCACCGTGTCTCAGATGAGAGAACTCTGATATCGGTGTTCCAGGCCGAAAATCGGGACAATCAATGAAATCAGCTCCCGGTGGGACGGGACGATCGTAAATTTTGTTCAGCGGAATCCTATCCCAGAAACACTCACTGGCCAAAGGACCGGAGCAGCCGTCTCTCCGAATGGTCGCCTGGAGCGTCGCCTTTCGTGAAAGAAGACCGAATCACGACATTCGCGGGACGTCTGGAGCTCCAAAAGACTTCGATGTGCGTCTGTGCTCATCCTCTATGCTCATGCGAACCCACGAGCCCAGCGGGCTCACGTCAGCAGATGCATTAAATCAGGATAGACGCCGGCCGCCGCCGAATCGCAACAGAGTTTCCGACGTCAGTGTCAATCAGACTCGACAAGCCGTTCGCCCTTCCTCCTGAATGTCACCTCACCCTGCTCTGGATCTGATCCTGAATTAAGCCTTCCGACCCTTGCAGCTGTCAGCCGTCCGGGAAATCGTCGTTCAGGATGCGATCTCCAACCTGAATCGTCTGAACGAGCAAATGATGAAGAGCAGAGACGTCCCGATATGGTTCCTGGAAGACTACGAACATTTCGCGATGATTCTGGAAGATTTTCAAGAGCCGGAGTTCGACATGGTCGACGCAATGGGCTCTCCGACCGGGAACACCAGCCCGGACGAGACGGGATCGAGAAACGGAGACGCGACACGGTCCCCGATGCGGAGCGTAGTTCGGATACAGCTACCGAATGAACAGCACACTACAATTCAGGTGCGAACCGGTCAGACCGTTATGGAGGCGCTCGCAAAAGCGATGAAGAGACGGAAACTCAGCCCTGAGATGTGCGTCGTGTACAAGGAAGCCTCCGGCGAGATGATCGAGTGGAACACGGACATGGGCGAACTCGAAGGCGACACAGAGATCTATGTGAAGATCCGCGACAAGTATCCGATCGCGACTTCGATCTCGCACAATTACGTTCGGAAAACGTTTTTCTCGTTGGTGTTCTGTGAATGTTGCCGCAAGTTATTGTTTCACGGTTTCCGATGCCAAACTTGTGGTTATCGATTCCATCCCCGATGTGCAGACGCCGTTCCCGCCTTGTGTCAACCGCTGGGAGTGGAGCAACAATACTTGAAGCAGTGAGTCCGGAGTTCCAGGAAGTAGTTTCCAATCGCCATATTCGACGATGCCGTCGCTCATAAACGTGGGTTAGACACAAAGGTTGTAACTCTCTGGAATTCATTCTCCGCAGTTTGTTGGCGTTGAACGATGGTCTCGAACCAGCTCCGAGCTCCTATATCCCGTTCATAGAAGAATGCAACCTACAGCGGGCAGCGAACTCGAATCGGAGTGCTTCCGGAAGCAATCTCGCGGGCCAACTGGAACGATCGACATCGGTGCCAAACGTCTCGTACAACGCAGTGAATCAAGAGTTCCCTGATTTCCCTCGATTCAAACAGCTCCACTCGTCTCCAGGTAAAGTTTCGGGTACTCTGACCGATATGACGCCGGAGCACAATCCCTGCTATGACGGGCAGGCACTGAGCGGAGAAAAGAGTTTGAAGTGCTCATCGAAGCCTTGAATTGTCTCGTGAGATGAGAATTACGCATGCTTGTACCCCCCGATTCTGTTCATTTACATGTCTTGGATTGTTCAACTTGGTTTCGTTCTCAAAACCCGTTTTGTTCATCCCAACCCCACAGAGAGTTCACCCCCGGCCTTCACTCGTGCTCAAGATGCTGCTCCTTCCGTGGCTCGAAGCGGTGGATCGCCTTGGAAGAGCTCCCACTCTCCCAGAAATACAAATAACAACAACATGAACATCAACGCTACTCCACAGAGCGGAGACTATACATATCTCAACAATGATGGAACGATCACTTCCTACTACAACAACAATGACAATTATGATCATGGCAGGGGAAGTCCGAGCTACAATAACGACAATAGCAACAATGATGCGAACTTCGGCACATATGAGGACAACGAGAACACAACTGGATCCATGAGCACAGACAAGACGCACAATCGGACTTCCGATAAACCTAATCACATGTCTAAGGACAGAAACGCACAAGACACAACGAACAATAATTCTCGCAACGGTAGCGCGCTCAATCAGGCGAACGGCCAGGCCACGGGCAATGGAACGAAATTCGATTTCTTCTTCAATGGGAAGCGTGATTTGACCGCCAGTCTCGGCAGCACCATAACGTCGGGATACCACAGTTTAACAAGTGGCCATAGAAATCGCCGCAAGCAAGCCTCTAGCAGAAGAGCGATACAGAGGAGGAATAACTCCTCCGTCGGCCAGAAACCCAACGTAAATGACAGAGTGATCGAGCGAGGTTCGTTTTTTGCTTCTCCCCGGCACGGGTCTCAAACCGTGTGGGTCGCCGCTTGACTCTTCACGCTTCCGTCCTTTCCCTTGTTCCCCCACGTCTCTTGGAGCCGTTGTTCTCTTCCGGGCAGCTATCCTGACCTGTTCGTCTCAGTCAGCATACTCAGATCTCTGGGAGAAGTTTGCCAATTGACTCTGCTCTTCTCTCTTCCACAGCACCGGGTCTAGCCCCTCCGAGGTCCAGCCAGATTTCTTCATCGCCCACGCGGACCCAGAGTGCGCAGGGCTCACCGACGTCATCGCACAAAATTCCTAGACCGAGGGCTCGTTCGGCCGATGAGTCGTCCAAGAAATCTGTCAATCAGAAAGCAACGAGGGAATCGAATGAAGACTGGGAGATACTGCCGGAAGAGATACTGACTGGGCCCAGAATTGGGTCGGGCTCCTTCGGAACGGTATACCGTGGCCATTGGCACGGTCATGTGGCCCTGAAGAAGCTGAACGTAACCGATCCGACGCCAGCACAGCTTCAGGCGTTCAAGAACGAAGTGTCCGTACTGCGGAAAACGAGACACATGTGCATCATTCTCTTCATGGGCTGCGTTTCCAATCCCCATCTGACGATCGTCACGCAGTGGTGCGAGGGCTCCTCTCTCTACAAACATCTCCACATCGTAGAAACCCGATTCGAATTGCAGCACATCATCGACATCGCCCGGCAGACCTCGCAGGGTATGGATTATCTCCACGCAAAAAACATCATTCACCGGGATCTCAAGAGTAACAGTGAGTCGACTTCCTACCCATTCCGTGATCGATTGAGGATTCCTGCTCCCTGCCCTGGGCTCATTGTCGATGACACCATCCAAGTGCGGGATCTCCCTACCGGCTCTCTAAGAATTTCCATTCGCAGATATTTTCCTACACGACGATTTAACGGTCAAAATCGGAGACTTCGGACTGGCGACCGTGAAAGCCCGGTGGAGTGGTTCCACGCCGTTCTCCCAACCTACAGGCTCTATACTGTGGATGGCTCCCGAAGTGATCCACATGAAGGATCCGAACCCATATTCATATCAGAGTGACGTTTACGCTTTTGGCATCGTACTTTACGAGTTGGAAACTCAATCTCTGCCGTACAGCAATGTGAACAACAAAGACCAAATTCTCTTCATGGTCGGCAAAGGCTTTCTCAAGCCCGACATGAGCAAAGTGAGAAGAGACGCGCCAAAAGCTTTACTACGGCTCACCGAAGACTGCATCAAATACAAGCGGGAAGATCGGCCTTTATTCAGACAGGTGAGGACTGACTGGGAAACTCGGGCATACGGAGGAGCAGGGCTACGAAATCCTATCTCCACTATCACAGACTAAGGAGGAGGAGCGATCTCGGGCGTTCTCAACCCTATCTGGAATAAGCCGGCTCGAGACCGGTGGCAAATGCGAGCGGGCGACCCTTCCGTCTGTGAGCTTTCCCTGATGATGGATTCTTTGCAGATTCTCGCATCTCTCGAGTCCCTGAAAAGGTCGCTGCCGAAAATTCATCGGTCCACATCAGAACCTACTCTCAATCGGACTCATCTGCACAGTGAGGAAATGCAATTCACCTGTGCATCACCGAAGACGCCGTCGCAATTCGGGAGCCCCGCTTATTCGTTTTTTTCGAATACGGGTAATTTCTGAATGCTGCTGCTGTCAGCAAAATGGTGGACAGCGTTGTTATGGATATTTGTTATTTCTTGATTTTCAGCCGCTCGGGTGCGTAGTCTCGCTCCGCGTACGGAAGCGTGCGCAGAAGGACAGACGTAAATCTATGTGCTCAGAGGGTGTGGGTATTGGGCGAATCATCTTCCGATAGCACCATCTCGGCTGGGTCTCTATGTATAGAATGGCTGTACAAAGCAACCAGGAAAGGAATCAGATCAACGCTCTTGTTGATTCCTCGAGTACGGAAGTAAATATCGGAAACTAATTTGTGAATTGTGGAGAATCGATCAGATCAATGTCGCCTCACGCTTGTTCGCGACATATTGTACAAAGAAGAGAACGATGATCAAAATTTGTTCCGAAGATAATGATTGAAAAGTGAGAATTATAAGGATAATAATAAGGGTATTGGGATAATAATAATCATAATGACAATTACTTCGGGGCTAGACTTTCATTGGCGCTGACCTTCGGACGTCCAAGTTCCTGAAATCTGAGGTGTCCCGGTCTCCCGCGCTTCAAGCCCCTGGGTATGGATAAACACCCCAGTCGGCGGCTAATCGATCACTGAGTACTGGAATAATCAGGTCTCTTCCAACGGGCCAGGCCGGAAATGCCGAGCCTTCGCTGTAGACATAAGACCATTCTAGACTTGGGGCTTTATCGACACCTACTCGGCATTTTCGAAGAATCTGATCGAAATCAAATATTTTGGAGCAGGATCCATTTTAAGTCCCTCCCGTTCCGCCTGACCCCGTCTTGTGATAAAGAGTTCTCTGTCCCCTATCAGATCGCTGTCGCTGCCGATAGAGGGCTGTGTGGAGTTAGCGGAGGGTCCGGCATTTTTCAATAAATCGATTCATTTTGGAAACCGGTGAAGCTCAATCATCTAACGTAAGGTCTAGGGAGATCATAGGGGAGAGCTATCGATTTCATGCTCCTGAGGGAATCTCCTGGAGAGCTCCGCCGTCCGGAGTCTCTCAACGAGGAGACCTCTCACAGAAATCATCCGTTGCAATTTCTCCTGAATCCATTTTCTCCTGAACGCTCCCGCAAATACTGTCTTGAGTTAGACGGTTTCCGCGCGAGCGTCCTCCTTCCTGTTCAGAATACCCTTCCGAAGAGAGCAAGGGTCGGAAGGATGCTATCCAGGCTAAAAAACGCGCTATGTATGCATGATAGGGACCGCATCGAAGGGTGATCGTTCCAGCCCCCCGTAAAGCGTCTCGCGTCGCGTGTTTAGGCTGTGATGGCGTAGTATTCGGCTCTAGGAATGCATCAGTCACATTCCTGCTCACACCCTCATACTACATGAAGATCCTTCCTCCGTACAAACTTGAGATCGGCATCGATCCTTCGTCAAACTTTCTTCTCCGTCGGAGATTCGAGCAATTGCTCTCTCTGGGTGAAGGGCATATCCGCCGCTACCGAATCAGTCAGAATTCGCCATTCTACAGCCGGGTCACGGCTCTCCGACGGTGGACTCTAGGGAGACGTTCCAACCTTCTCGAAGCGCCTCCGCTCGCTTTCAGGTCTCTCCGCGCAATGCCTTCACTTTCCCGACTTGACTGCGTAATCGGTCCGGGTCCCACCGAAGAATGCCGATTCGGTGTGGAACCGAGCGTTTTCCATTCGCGGTTCTGGAACCGCAGGGAGCTCGAAATTCTCGCCTGGATCGCGGTTCCAAAACCGCTTCGAAGCCCGCGCTCCAAACTCGTACGTGCTGGCGCCTTTCCGTGTGACAAGATGATTTGTCAAGGTATTTGGCACGTGGTATTGGTATTCCAAGCCAATGGGGAAGATACCCAGTGGGAGTGACGAGGGGGACATCGGGAGCGAGCGAAATCAAGAAATTCGATTGAAAAGACGACTGTGATTTTTGCCGGAAATGGCGCGATTCTCCCTCCCCATAGCCATTGACCTATGGGTGGACAGCGGCAGCTTATTCTAAATTCTTTATCACACTGGATCACGCTGGTCCTCGCTGTTACGTATCGGATGACGCTGGATCGCACTGAATCTCGCTGAGCCTTACAGGCTCATACTCCAAACTGGATCTATTATCTATGGGAAGATCAATCGGACGTGGAAGCAGGGAGGAGCCGCCCGATCGTGCTTGAACTAGCAGCAAAGATCACTAGCACCGAATGACTTCACTCTCGCATCGTAAATATTCGCTTCTGTTCAATTCTTCCCCCCGTACCGCTTGTGGGGGTTTCGCATAAACGTGATATACGTACAACCGTACCGTGCCCTCAGCAAACGTAGAACCGTACGGAACGCGCCGAGTACAACCGAGCGAGTGTCTCTCAGGTCTGATGTTGATCATCAACCGCCCAGAAGTTTTGATCGTAGCCGACGACAGCGAGTAACAGTGGAAATACTGGGGACGACGAACGGAGTTGGCCAGATTGTTCTTGATTTAGGGCTTTGATCAAGAACAATCGTTCGCCAACTGGGAAGAAAGTAAAGCTGGAACGATAATTTGCGTGCTGTCCGACGGACTTCCCTATCGGAATCGACGAAACGTAAGCAGCCCTTTGCTGATTTTGAGGAGATGGCGCCTTCTCTCCAAACTTGTCGCCGACGTTCTCGATCAGAAATCAATTCATTCTTCCACATGCAGTCTTTGAGAACGAGAAGCGAATAATGTCGAAACGTTCCCCCCATCCAAGAGCGAGATCCGAACTTTCAGAGAGCTATGTGAAACTTGCCTGATGTGGATGCACAAGTCGCCGTATATTCTTCGCCGACTCGTCTCTCCGTGAAGTCCACTCGCAGATCAAACTAATGTATCCTTTCTGTCCAACTCCAGATGGATACGTTCGACTCGGAACTCTACGACAGCGACGGTGAAGGCAACAACGATGATTCGCAAATGAACTCGTCCGAGGTTGGTGCTGGAACGCTTTTGGCGCTAATTTTCTGGGCGCTTCCCTGAAGTTCCTCACCCGGATGACGGACGAGAACATATGACCTCCTCGATCCTCCACATTGATGTCGAGTACAGACAGGACTTGCTAAGTGCTCATCTTCGCCAATTTCGCAGGGTAACATCATATTATCTTGCGAGCGCTGTGGACGACAAGGTTATGCGAGTAGTTTCTACGGTAAGAAGAAGCAGTACTGTTCCTTCTCCTGTTCGAGACCATCAGTCATGGCGAAGAAAATTCAGCAGAAGAAGAATCAACATAGAGTGCCAGGTAAGATCCGTCGGTCGTTGGGATAAATACCAAACTCATTAGGTTCTCAGAGAGCACGTCTGGTTTCCCTGGTCTTCCCCCCTCTTGAACCGTATCATCTCTCGATCCACAGGGAGCCATGATTGGCGGGGGATGTTGGACTCTACAGGGTTCCAAGTCAGTTCAGTGGCTTCTTTCAAGAACGCGCCGCTATCCGAATGGTGGGCCAGGAACGTCACCATCGGCATGAAGGTCGAAGTGCAAAATCACGATGCTCCTGAAAATATTCACCGCGTAGTATACTGGGTGGCTACCATATGCGACATCAAAGGCTACTATGTCAAGCTACGATACGTCGGATTCGGTGAGTTCATCAATTATCTCTGCGAGATGCAGAGCCAGACATTACGGCCAAGTGTCGTAGATATTTTCTATCTGTTCATGTGAGGCGAGTTCAAGAATCACCGGGAGGAACGAGCTCGCGCCATTCCTTCCTCCCACGCATCGTCGCGTACTGGAGCCGGAAGACTCCATGAACGGAATCTCGTGCGGTCTTAGCCCTCTCTCGCGTTCGGATGAGCCTGACAATTACCTTGTCTTCCCAGATAACGACGCGGCGGACTTCTGGGCCAACCTATGCTACGTACAAGAAGAAGATACTCATATTGTTGATCACTCAGTTCATCATGTCGGATGGTGCGCATTCAACGATAAACCGCTCGTTCCGCCGAAAACGATAGAAGACAAGACCGAGAATTGGAAAGACTACATGGTTCAGAAGCTGACGGGAAGTAAAACACTCCCGCACAACTTCCAACAAGTAGTCCGAGAAAAGCTCAAAAGCCGCTTGGAAATCGGTAAACATTAGGTTCTCCATTGGTGTATTTCGAAGAGTTATCATGAATTCCGTATAATGAATGAGAGCTCAATTTTCGTCGGATCGATCGCTCTGACCGTAGATTGGTTTTCCGAATCCACAGGAATGAAGCTCGAAGCAATCGATAAGACGAGGCTGAGCTCTCTCCGAGTTGCCGTGGTGAACAAAATCGTCGGGCGGAGAGTTTACGTCAAGTACGAGCGGATGGAAGAAGACGACGAAGGTTTTTGGTTCCACGAGAAGTCCAGTATGATACATCCCGTGGGCTGGGCTCGAGTACATGGTCATGAGCTTCTGTCCACGGAAGAATACGCGAGGAGTAGTCTTTCCAAAGCCACGTCAAACAAATTCGGATCGAAGGAAGCTTCGTGGGTTCATATACCGCCATTGGAACTCCCCGAGAGCGTAAGTCGGATATCATTCCGCACTCCGTGTACGATCTGCCGGACATACGGGGCCTGATTGTCCTCCGTGGGGCAGGCAGGATTTTAAAGTTTACTCCGTTCTGAGAAGCATGATCGCGACGACCGAATTCAATATTGTGTTCTTCTTCCCCTCCACAGGTGTTCAAAGCATTTGAAACTAATCATTTCGAAGTAGGAATGAAGCTTGAGGTCATTGATCCACTCAATCTGTCCACTATCTGTGTCGGAACCGTTCACAAAATTCTACGCAATAATTATTTGATGATCGGCGTCGATGGAGCGACTCATCCGAACGGATCTGACTTAATGTGCTATCACGCATCGTCACCCTATATATTCCCAGCAGGCTTTTGCAAATTATATAATCTTGACTTGCAACCGCCCCACCAGATCAAGAGAAAGGACTTTGAGTGAGTTTCAGCGCATCCTAGAGCGGGCTATACCCTGATATGTACTCCGAGATCCATACGATCGTAGGAAAACCATCGACTAACTCTTTTTATCTCCCAAAAGCTGGGACGAATATCTCAAGGAGACGAAAAGCAAAGCAGCACCGTTCTGTCTGTTCCGGAGAGGCTTGCCGAACCATGATTTCAAGGCGGGCCAGTATCTCGAAGCAGTCGATTTGATGGACCCGAAACTGATCTGCGTTGCCAGGGTGACTCATGTGGTAGATCGCCTCGTGAGGATTCATTTCGAAGGATGGAGTGAAGAATACGATCAGTGGGTGGACTGCGATAGCCCCGATATCTTCCCAGTGGGCTGGTGCGATGTTGTGGAATATCTACTCACCCCTCCGAACCCAGCTGGCGAAGGTCCGAGCGGCGCTCAAAGTTCAGCTAAGAAGAAGAGAGAAAGCACTTCAACCGGCCGACGGAAAAGTGAGTATTTCGTCGATGTCGGGATTTGCGGAGCGTGCGTCCTGTTCGAACCTAACAGCCCTATCATTCTATCCACAGAACGCAAGATGAACAAAGGAGGGAGTAACGGGAAGTTCGATGAGCCGAAACAGGCAGTCAGCAGTTTGGAAGGCCCATAGGATAGGACGGGAGTTTTTCATGTGCGATACCCTCTTTGCTCCATATTGCGCAACGAGCGTAGTCATCGGAATTTGATCAGCGTCAGGGTCGAAATTTCGATAAGTCCGCATGAATGTATAGGAAACAATTAGATGTCCACAGCAGCTTCATCCGTGAATTCATCCGTCCCTTGACGGTCGCGGGGAAATCGAGTGAGCTGAGACGGAGTACGTTATTATTCGCATCGGGGGTTCCCCGAGCTGCGGACTCGCTCGAACGAAGTCACACTGACACTGTTCCCAACAACAGATGCTAGGTTGGAAGTCATCATTGTATTTTTCTGAATACATACATCGGTATGATCTAGATATTCGCTTCTACCTACATATCGGGGAATCATTCATCAATGTTGAGCTGTCGGCAGCTGTTCAGAAACAGCCTGCTCAGGTTTTTTTAGATATCATCGACGACATCAGGAACTCAGAAATTCTATCATATGTTAGGAGTCGAGACCCTGTTGAACTTGGAGCTCTCAGCTCAATTAGATGAACCAATATTTGCCGAACATGTTCCCACGCTACTTGTCTTACCCGCTCCCTTGCAATGTGGCTTTCCGGCCACGTCTTAGATCTACGCACGTATTCAAACGCTTCTCTATCCATCATCTTGTACTTATGATCACTCAGTTTCTCGGTCCGTCAATCGACCGCCAGCTTATTACGACACGAATCTCACCCGCGTCTAAAGCGTGTGCTGAGGTCGGCGTTGTCATCTGCTCTCAATCGATTGGAATGTCATCGCAATATGTATTTTCCGTTACGTTAGGTGTAAATTCATCGGGCATTAAAAGGATCCAACTGACAACGCTTGCGGGCGTGCGTGTGTCTGAGGAGAGTGTGAAATCCCAAATCTTCATAGGCGATGTAGCCTGTGCAGAAGTATTATGAAATAAATTTTTTATTATCAAATACCACGGTCTTCCTCAAAGCCATCGCTACAGAGCGGGGTTGATAGAGGCTGAGAACATCGACTCCGTAGCTCATTCATCAGATCATTCGCCTCAGCGGAGTATCTCGCACGCGGGTATAAAGTATGGGGGTGGGGGCTCGGGGTTCTCCGACAATCACCCGGTGCTCTCCTTGCAGGCCAGGAGGAGCCTCTTCAGCTTCGGCTTATCACCCTTACTTTGCTGGTTGATGAAGCCGTTTATCTGAGAACAGAGAAGCGCCTCGAATCAGAGCTGCGACCTAACATTCCCGAAGGATGGGGTGCTCATCTGATTCTGCACGTGAAGAACTGTGTAGGCGTCTCCAGATCTATTATACTTGCGAGAGCCACTCCAGTGGTTGGAGCGTTGGCGCACAGCTTGAGTATAGCTTCTTCCGGGGTGCGTCCTTTGAAAAGCTCCTTCGTCTTCTCCCATTTCTGTCTGATCTGGATCGAAGAATTCTTTCAGTCACGCGGAGGGAAACCGTCGAGGCGGTCGAAGTGTCATTGCGTTTCGCATGTGCATCGCGGGAAGAAGGAGATGTATTCCAATATGCGTTCCCGCAGGAGAAAGATGAGGGCCCCTTCAGCACGGGCGCGTCGGCTCTAATTATTCTCTGAATCTGAGGTCGATAGCAGCACCAGTCCGATCTTTCGAGGGTTCAAAATCGATAATGCAGATGTTGCAGAAACTCACCGAATCAGGCGCAGAATCGAGGGTGCAGCTCAGGAAGCCAGTCAAAGCGGAGGCGCCGAAAGCTGATCACATGAAAAATCAAGAACCATCGATTGGCCAAATTAAGCTGAGGAATCCGGGGGTCAAGAGCTTCTCGAATGCTTGTGGGCTCGATCTCTCCCTCTGAGCTGACTCACCGCATATATCTATGCGAACCTGCTGTTGGAACGAAGGTAGCGCGTGTGTCAGAATAAGGCACAACCACAAATGATTCCTTCTAATCATCACGGGAAGGCGGTGGACATCAATCTATGCTTCGACATTAGTGAGAACTCTCACGAGTTCCTGAACTTCTAGAGACAGCAAAGAGTATCGAAGAGTGGGATTTCCTCGACAGATCTCTCGGCAGTGAAAAACTCTCCCGAACCTCCGGAGCCGACCGATATGCAAATGCACGAGGGATTAGCTCTGCTCGGTGGTTCTGATTGGCCGAATAAATATTTTCTTCATTCATCGCCTGAGTGAAGTCTTGTAGTAGCTCGACTGTGTCAACTGAATGCGCAATCGCTTATGTCATCAAGCTTCCATGAAGATTGATGACCCGTTACCTAAACATAAGGGTCCCTTCGCTAGAATTATCCCTACTCCAGGCCTACCATGTTCTGAATCAAAATCCTTCGCTCTCCGTTGGGTGGTTGCACTGCTCAATTAGATTTGTCGCTGATGAAGCCGTAGGATCCGAGAAACTTCGAAAGAAAATCGAAACGTCGAAATCCATACAAGGAAAGAAAAGGCGAACAGGGAATTCGGTATCGCCCGGTCTTTGCCGGGGAGCTCTAACCTCGCGATGTACCCACAATTTCATTGTGGATAAATGGTAGTCTCGAAAGAGTCTCGGCAGCCTGATGGTGCCATCATGTTCTCCAATACCCAATCTCAGTCCGCTCGAGGCACCGGAGAATCGGATTTTCTGCTCAACCGGGACTGGATTGACCGCATTCGGGACGTTCCGAAAAGGCGAATGTTGGATATATATATATTTCAACTTTCGCACGTCTCCAATGATTCTAGGCGCTCGGTCAGACTATGGGCTCGAAATTCAGAGGCTATCGACCCTCAAATCGATCGGCGACGCTACTGTACGGCGTCACTCACTCCTTCTCATGAGGAGAAAAACTGGGCTTCTAAAAATAGGATGCAATTGCCTTCTTGAGTCAACCAGGGCCGAGTTAAGGATCGATGATACTTTTATTCGGAGGAATCGATGAGTTTGTACAACGGAATAGCCATATACAGAACGTTTCACAGGTCGCCGGGAACCTTTTACCTTAATTGTCGTCTCCTGTTGGGAGCCAGAAAGCCATGTTTGTGCAGGAAGAGGCAAGCATCATATACTTGGGATTGAACTGGACGCAGCTCACGGGTCCAGTGTGCTCAGCTTTGAGCACAGCGAGTTTGTTCCCGTTGTCAGCGTTCCACGCGTGAACACAACCGTCGCTCGAGCCGGAGAAAACAAACTGAGAATCGGGGCTGAACGACGCTTCGAGGGGAACACGACGAGCATTCGCATAACCTGTGGACGAGAACATAAGGCTATAGTTTTTGCCGCGGGGCAGCACTCCATTGAATAATTCTGTGCTCGAAGCCGCGGCACCTACCTGTGAGCTCGTGGAGCAGGTTCCCGTTGAATGCATCGATGAGATGGATATTCGTCCCATTTGTGGAAATCAGCATGGTTTTTCCATCGGGGGAGAATTTCAAACCTGTCCAATCGCAGTCTTTGTCTTGGTTGAGTTTGAAGGTGTTGAAGGGTCCTTTGTCGAAGGTCCTCAGGTCGTAGAGTTTGATTGATTCAGAGTTTAGACCGACAGCAAAAATCAGCCCCTCTGGATCGAAATTGCCGACAGGTCGACCTGCATAAAATTGTTGAGAATTGTTGAGCATCCCATTCAGTGCGCTGAAACTCCCACGAATTATTTATCCGAAGCTCATGTCGATCCACTGACCGTTTAACTGCATGAATCCTTGACAATTTGGGGAACGGAGATCCCATAGGCGCAGAGTCTTGTCTAGCGAACCGGAGAGGAACATGTCGTCCACGGGAGAAGTACAGAGAGTCACAACTTTCTTGCTGTGCGCAGGGAAGTATCTGATGTACTTGTTGTCGTGAAGAGAGAGATACCTGAAGGAAGCGCCGGAACCGATTAGTCTTTGATGAACCTACCTATGTATTTTCTAATCGACGTGAATAATCGAGTCTCTTGAGGCAAGGGGATGGAGGGCAGATGTCCGCCGCTGAGATGATGCCCTACCTGATGGTGTCATCGATCTTGGTGGAGCTGTGAATAGCCGTGTTGGCGGCGTGGGTGAAGTGGATCAGATCTACTCCATATTTCTTCGAGTTCAGCGTTCTCTTTTGGATGCCTGCGGAACGAGGCGGATGTGTCATCCCCCGAGGTTTCCGATGCACCCCCAACGAGGAGTCCCTGTTCTTGGTCGAGGGCCAGATGTCCCAAGAGTTTGCGACACTCACCTTTAGAGCAATCATAGATGATTATCGAATCGTCGTCGCTGGACGATATCAGTGTCGAACCATCTGATGAGAAGTCGATGCAGTTGATTCTGTCCGTGTTATCACGGAAAACTTTGGCGACTCGGAAAGACTTCACGACGGGTTCGATGAGCTTCATCTTCTGTTCGAGCATGATGAATATTTCTGCGGAAGGAAGGACAGCGGTTAGTTTCTCCTAGTCGTCCAATTACCCAACGGGGCTCCGATAGCTTTACAAGGGTATCGGAACCCAGTCATCCGATCCGAATACACAGGCGCGGGTGAGTGAAAATCGTTCCGATAGTCATCTCCACTGTGACACAACGAGTCGATTGAATTCCTTTGCCCGCCGAAAACCGCGAAACGATTTCTTCCCTCTTCTCGAGCCAGCTTCTCCCCGTAGAGTGTGGAATGTGGACCTCAGGAAGCTTGCCGGTCCGAGCGCTGGAGTGCTCCAATCTCTCTAAACAAATACATAACATTTCACCTCACTATCGAATGATTACTCACACTCACTTCACTGGGGAGGAGTTGATTGGATACACCGGCGAGAATTGTAACACGGAAAAGCAGTATATTTATCGAGAGCAGATTTCCGCTGGCGACATCAGATAGAAGCCAGAGAATAATCCCGTATTTTTCTTCGAATTGGAATCCTTCACACGGAGCTCGTCTTCACTCATTCCCCTCAAGCTCCGGTGTGTCGTTGAGACTGTGTTGTGAAAAAAGAAATACACCGTTTCAGCTTTCAGCCATGTTGGCTTCAACAAAACAACAGCGACGGTGGCGCCTCTCTCAAAGCCGCGCGGTCGCGAGAGGCGAGCGGTGAATCCCCCGCTCTTATGCGTCAATACCGGAAACTCGGCTCTTGAAAAGGACGCATTGCTCCTGGAATGATCGGTTTCGAGTCGAAAGAGATGCCTGCTAATTGCCGCACGAAGAGATTATCCGCACTCGGAGGGTGGCCTTGGATCGTAGCGAGCATGATTTGATAGCACACCTTAATGAGCTATCCTTCCGAGGTCCATCGAGGATTGCCAGCCGTACTGAACCTCTTCATATTGCACAAATAGTCGCCTTATCTCGCTGGTTGGCGCTTGATCCAGCGTGATCAGTTCCGACGGCAGTCTTATGCTGATTCTTGTACGATCCTGGAGTCGGTGTCGAATCGAGGCCCATTCTGCATCGTCCCGCCGCTTCCGCTGCGGTTGGCTGTCCGGATTCCTGTTGCAATCTGAAGCACCGGGTTCGCTGTCCACGAGCCAAGATGTCTCTGTAACTCTCTAATGTTGGTTCTCCATTCTCGTCGATCACCCGTCCTCCTGGTCCCCGCGCACGCGAGAACCCTCGAGAGGTCATCTGTCGCCCAATGTATCCTATCTAATATGCGGCCTATGCTGCAACAGCTCATAGCAGCCGATTCCGTTCCCATCCTAGCACACCCGGTGGTCGACGCAGCTCCCCCATGCGCATTTATGAATGTGGGGTCCGCCACGGGGAATCCGAGTGCGGAGTCCAAATTGAATATCGAAGGCATGACTCTTATTGTGCTTCTCATATGAGAACGTGCGACCTTTTTGATGAATCATCGATATCTCTCATCAGGCATGACTTCTCGCGCGGGAGCAGCAGCGATCACCGCTATCCGAACCGGCTGAATCAAGTTCACAAGTCGGGACGTCCTCCGCGGAAATAAGATGCATGACGGGCAAATGAGCAAGCCGATGGAAAGGAGGATTGATTCTCCCAGTTTGAAATCCTAGAATCTGGATCTCACTCGCAAGCTCGGAGGTTTCCATCAATCGAAACATAATAAGAAAGAGAATTATGATGATAACTGACTCATGCCTGTTTTCCTGACTCTTAAGGTGTCCGAAAATGGAGGAATAATTACATTGAACTAATCCAAATGTGAATTAATCTGCTCGGTTCATTGGTACACTTCGTGATTTGATAGCATTATCCAGCAGTAGCAATCGCGATAGGAACGACCGTGCGCGATCTCGCTCGAAGTTGAACAAGTAAAGATCACCGCCGTCATTGTTTCCGCTCTCCTATCAGCAGTTCGGCCTGTGCAAGTTCCTCTCTGAATTCTTAGAGTGACTACTCACCATAGTCCAAGAAACGGTCGAAAAACGGTATCTTGACGATAAATGCAATCGAAAAACAAACGGTATATAATATCACGAGCCGAACTCAAGGTCTACTAAGGGAATCGAGGAGTGAGGAGAGCTCCTCGAGCAGAACATAAACACAGTCATTGGTATGCTCTGCGCGGAATCATAGCTTTGGCGATTTGCGGCGCTCTGTATCAACAGAATTGAGACATGATCGTGGAAGAGCTCCGATGCTTCATCTGACCGGGGAATAAAATAGATAGAGAGTCTGCGGGTGGATGCACAAATCGAGTTCCGTGATGGACACCGAATCGGCCCTCAGAAATGTAAGGAAGAGCTTATGCTTGGCTTGTTGATCTGATTGAGTCCTCTGAGATGAAATCTTCGCGAGGTAGAGTGCTCGAGTTCGCTTCTCCTGACGGAGCCCCTCCTTCCTTCGATATCCTTAGGTACACTCGTGGGTACATACCTAAAGTACATCTTCGGAAAATTCCAGTTTCGGGACTTCCTAACGATCTACAACAAAATGTCGGAGCAATGTTTCGCGCATTGCGTTAATGATCTAGGTCAGAGACAATTGACGGAGAGCGAGGAGGTTTGCGTCGACAAATGCGTCAACAAGAACATAAAGGTGAGGCCTAGTTTTTCCTGTCTGTTAAACACCTGAGGACACCGAGCTCTCCCGGCCCTTGGTATCTCCGGTCAGGACTCGCTAGCCGCAGAAGGCGGAGATCCGTACGGAATCACTTCCGGCACAAGATTCTGTCGACGCTGGATAACATACATATCTCCAATAGATTGCCGTCAGAAATCCAGGTCCTGGAGGCTGTATAAAACATAGTTACGATAAAGCCGGCATCGAATTGACCACCGTGTTCCGTCCGCAGCTGAACCACCGGATGATGGAGATCTACATGAAATTGCAACCGGAAATCAATCAGAAGAGACTCCAGGAACAGGAAGCCCTACAACAGGGTGTTATGCAGCTGAAGAACGATATTTGACGAGGGGTCCGTGCTCCCGATATCCTCTGGGCTCTCCGAAATAAATGTTCCCCGCCGGTTCGGCCACATGCCCTCTTCTCCTAAGTTTGTTACATTCAACTCTCGCGCCAGGGATTCTGTCCCCGATCTCGCAGAATCGATCTACGCCCAGCACCAGTCTCGTACCTTCCCGATGTTGGAATGTGAACCACCGTGAACAAGCGGTGCAGCAGTGTCAATCTCTTCTCTTCGTTATCTTCTCTAGATGGAATAGTATAATGGCGAAGTGCGGCGGGAAGATTCGTAGTGGTGCTGCGCACACCTTCCAACACTCCCCCTTGCGCAGAACCACGAAGATCCTTCGAAGTGGAGCGCGATCTCGAAGGCTCCCCCTTGCTTCAAAACCTGAGCTCCCATTCAAGGTGGATGAGGCACCCTCGAAGAAAATTCAACTTAGGTTCTACTTATCTGAAGTACTCCCATCGCTCGCGAAGTTCTCTGGCATTCCGCAGCACTCCGCGATCCAGTTTTGGTCTTGTATAATCGACGGGTAGTGACAGCTCGGTGTTCCGCTGACTTTGATCTCTGTCCTGACCCGGGCACGGTCGGATATTTCCTGTGCTCCCCGAGTCCCCATCCAGTTTTCTCGAATTCCCGACGCTTCCCGAGCAGCCTTTGTCCGCGCTCCGAGCGCTACTAACGCTCCCAGCATTCTCATCTACGCTCTTAGCGTCCTCAACGCTCCCAGCGTTTCCATCTGCGCTCCCAGCGCTCTCAACGACGCTTCCAGCGTTTCCGTCTGCGTTCCGAAAGAGGCTGGCGGGCAATTGAGCCGTGCCTCAGCCATCGCTCGATGCTCCATTCCAACATGCCTCAAATGGCATTGGTCTCCCATTTCGACCCTTCAGCTGATCTGAACCTGCCACACATGGCACGTGTTCATCATCTCGACCGACCATCTCATCACGACCAATTCCCGACCCGCCACATTAGGCATTGGTCTTCCGTCGTCCTGACCTGCCACACATGGCATCGGCCCCTCATCCTGACCTGCCACACATGGCATGAGAACGTCCGTTCAGAAGGTTTCACGAAGGTACATCGATTTCGGAACTAAGTCCGCGTATGAGGCTTTTATTGAAATGAACTATTGAAAATGGACCGAATCCAAGTCGTCAATCTTTTGAGGAAATTTTCCGGCGTCGGTGATGCATCATCAGAGTTACTTCGTGCTGTCACCGGCTCCACTCCCAATCTCCCAGTCGATGCGGGAGTCGCAGTGGTGGTTCCGCGCTCGGGAGCTATTGAATCATTGCCAGCTCCCTCGAAATGACTCATGGGCTTGGATGGAGTCGTCGATGAAGATACCCCCGGGATCCATCCGATGTTGATGTGTTCTTCTTTGAAATCAGGATGAGACTCGAGTTCTCTCGTACCAATCTTGTCCATCGGGATTATCCGCACGATTGCAATGTCGCCGTCGCCGGTGGTAACGGTCTGCTACGTTGAGGAGTCTGAGCCTTCTCCGAGTTCCGCTCGATCTAGAGTCGCGATAAGAACTCGTGCAACGAGTTCATTCAGCGGAAGTGCCACACAATCTTCGACTCGCATTTCGGAGGAGTCGTTCGTCATCTGAGCAGCCCTTCTGGACCCGGCGGCACCGCCGAGGATGTTGCAAAGAGCTTTTTGTAGAGCCTCTGTATCATTTGGGATGCTCTCGCGCGCGCGGGCCGAGGAATTTCCGGAAATCAATGAGTTCCTCTGGCTAGTATCCGATAGCCCCGCATCTTCCCGCGCTTCAATGATCCAGAACTCATCTTCTCCGTAGTTCCGGCTGATGAGAACGAGTTGAAGGGACTGACCATGCGAGTTGTTCGACCGATTCGCACTGCCTTCCCAGTAGACGGCTATGTTTGTCACGTGCGGTCCTTCATCAATCAATGAAAACTTGAGCGAGATCATGAAGAAACAGGCACAGACCAATGTCACTATCAGAAGTAACAGCGAAGCGGCCAAGGCATTCCGACGGTACTGACTCGCATCTCGCGTACGGATGACGTTTCAGTCCGGCACGTCCACCTTTCTTTCGTGAAAACGGTTCGAGTATACCATTCTCGTTGAGCGAACTCCCCAATCTCCATCGACCAGGGTGAATGAATAAAATATCTAGATCTTTCGCGAGCGGAGCATCGCCTGGAGCTCCCTCTTCGGAGAACGATCTCTCTGAACACAGTCTTGTATTGTTCTATGAATGACAATGGTCCTCTCGAGATGTTTCCTCCCAAATGCATGTGGATCCGCCTGTGACACCTATCTCCAGCCCACCTTTCGATTCTACACAAATTCATCCGCGTTCATATACCATAGGAGCTAGTACTCGGCTTTGGTCGATTTCATGAAGATATCAGACGCCGTCGCGAAATGAAGATATTCGTGGCTCAACACAATCCTTTGGGACTGGGAATTCGTGAATTAAGGGAAGTCCGTTTCCAGTTCTGGCTTCAGGGCTTTTATTGTTAGATTCGAGAGTGACTTTATGTACAGAGAGATTAATAATAATTATCGGTCAGAGCGTTTTCTTCCATATGCGAAAGCTTGAAAATGCCTCTTCTTGGAGGGAGAACTAGTCAGGAACGTTCCGTCCGCGAGCCGGATTGTGGATCTCACGCTACCAGAGGCACACCATTGAAGGTGATATGTTGCGGAACATAGTGGGGACTTGTCGAGTAGACTTTGATCTGCGCCGGATCCTGATTGTCAGTTCCTGGAATGAATAAGTCTCCATTAGAGGTGGTTCAGAGGCTTGGTAATGAGTGAATGGGTAGTTCCGATGCTCGTCAAAATGCATTGTTTCTGGCATTTACCTTGCTCGTTCGTCAAGACGTGGGCCCGGAAACCGTTCTCGTCTGCGACATACTTCACGAGTCGTCGACGTCCATCGGGATCTTCAATGGTGTAGAATCCGCTTACCCGTCCGGTTCCGTCGTACTCTTCATGCCGCGCTATCCGGCCACCGTCGTATCGATCGTCAAAGCCGAACTTATAGGGCGAGTAAATCGGCACTTGTCTCTCGGGACTCTGTTCCAAAATCGGGTTCGATGTACCGAAACGTTCGAACCGCGGAATACTGCAAATGATGGAGATCCTCAGAACCTTCCATTAAACTTCACCCGAGGGCGTCAAGCATTCAGATGAAGATGACGAAGGAATGAAACTTTACGCATATGGCGCACAAGGGGCAAATATCCACGAACAAACCTCAACTGTTTCCCGCGTCTAGCTGTGGGATACTCCGGCTGCTCGGTGGAACGGAATTCGCCTCGCTCATCGGGGAGTTTTCTCTCGTTATTATTTGGCTGAACACTTTGTTGGTTCTGATACCTAATTGGCGTCGACGGAGCTTGAGGAACTGGTACTGGCTGATCGATTAGTGTAACAAGTGACACATTTGGCGAGTCAGAAGTGGATGGAGGTAAACCGGGCAAGTGCGGTTTTGGAGACGAAAGTGATGAAGATGGCGAATCAGATGAGCTTTGCGAGGTCGATTGTTTGAGACCAACGCTCCGATCGTCTGGCAGTTGCATTGAATGGAGACATTAGATGATTCCGACGAGCTTTGGTGTTAGTTCACGAGCGTCCCTTGGATCGTTATCTTACCGAGCTCAGCGATTGTGGTCGGGTTTGGACTCGCTGTGGTCGACGACGTCGATGGTGTCGTCGTCGTGGTCACCGTTTTTTGTCTCCTGCGAAAGTTTGCCTCGGAAGGCAGAGGAGGCAATCGACCATGAGAGTCGAAAACTCTCGGAACTCCTTCTTGGAATCCGAAATCCGCCGGCGGCGGCGTACGCGGAATGTTCGGATAAACATCTTCGTTGTTCTGCACTCTGGTCTTGAGTCTCCTCCGACGGACGATTCTCCGCATCCGGGGAGCCTCGGTGCTGCCGAGATTATCCACTTCGGGGTCTTCTGTGGTTATCGTCGTGGTTCTTGGTGTGTTAATTGTTATCTCACGGGGTTGGGGAAGGAACTTCTGTCCGGGACGCAGGCGAGCTCCGAATGGTATTCCCTCGTTGTAAGCAGAGCTAGACCGCTTAGTATAGCTAGAAGCGGGGGGCGGAGTGACCCGTTGGTGGGGCAAATGAGGACGACGGGACGGGGAAGGAGTAGACCTGGGAGAACGCAGTAACTGAGTTAGGAGCTCCTAAGCGGATTTCGAAATTAAAGTGTTAGTCAAGCGTGAACGCGGGAAGCGTCTACCTAGAAATAAATTCGGCTTCCGGGAGCTCGGTCGTCGAGGTGCCTTCGTCCGAGGTGACTGCTTCCACTGGCCTCTGCTTCCTCCGTCTTCTGCGTGAGACTTTCCTCACTGCGAAGGACATGAGGTCTGCGCCGTCGGCGGGACTGAAAGCCGTCCGATCCAGTGGAGAGCTCGTCGTGGGACCAAATTTTGGCACTTCCACTTGATGGGTGACCGTTTCATGAACGACACGTGCATTCCGATTCGGTTCGGACGTCTCGGCGAAATTGCTGTAGTGGTTGATCTGATCCACGTTATTGTAGTACACCGGACCGAAATTACGCGGCGCGTACCCGCTGTGTTGGTCTGCAAGGAGATTAGTCCGGGCCATGAGATAACTTAGAAGCTTTCCCTCAATTCGGAACGACTGAACCGTCGAGCTCGATTTTTTCTAAGGGAAGCCAAGCTCCCACTCACCTCCGTCGTTCAAATTCCTTCCCTGTCGAGCAGGGTTATCGTTGATTGGGTCATAGTTGATTTTCTGAGGCTCGGGACCTCCGATAACTACGCCGTTATCGTACATCCGAAGGAGAGGACTAGATTTTCCGGCTCGCGCTGATAGGGAATGAAATTCGTAATTCGTGAGAGGAATGACTAGATCTCTACAGCTCGTAGGCTCACGGCAAAGCCCTGATCGGATCTTATCGCTTACCAGCGTTGGGATGCCTCGTCGTGACATCCCCAGTGGATGGGGTTGGCGTGGCTTCATTGAGTTCGCTGCTGGTTGGGCCCTGGAACTCAGACGGAAGCGGAGTCGCAGCTGGGGGTCCGAATTTTTTGATCGGCGCTGGGGAGACGGTAGCTCCGGGACCGCTCCTGAGCGCTTCTGATGCCGGCGTCTTGAGATTCGGAGATGCAGGCCGTCCAAAGGCTCTAGCTTGAGGAGGCGCCACATTGCGCTGCGGTGGAGGGTCCCTCAAAGGCTGATAAGTTCCATCGAAGTAGCTCGGCGCATCATTCTTCTCCTCGATGATCACAGCCGGTACCAGGAGTCGACCTCGTCGCGGATCCTCCCGGAAAGGCCTTTGGTCCGCTTGTTCGAATGGCGACCTGTTGCCAGTACGCGCCGGAACTCGGTCCGTCGGCGGTTGCTGGACGACCTGAGATCCGAAGTTGAAGTTCAAGCCTGAGGGGGGAGACCTCGCAGCGTTCGGAGTCGCGTCTCTCTGAGGAGTCCGAGCAGCCGGAGGCAGCTGAGGGTTGTCGAGTCGGGAGAAGCGAGGAGGGACTTCTGCGACTTCCTGATCGTGACTCGTGCTGAACTGGTAGCCGAACCCGGGTCCGTGATGAGGCTGGCGGAAGTCTCCTCTCTGAACAGGGGTATATGGCTCCCTAAGTCGCTCGGATGTGTTGATCGGAACGTTCTCAGCATTTCTCTCCCGGTAGTTCCTTGACGGGGTGTTGGCTTCTGGTACTCGGACTGTTCCATCATTTTGAACGGCGCGTTGGGCGGCTGGGAAGCCTCGATTGGGTCTTTCTCGATCCGACCGCGGATTGTTCGGAACCGTCGGAGTACTGGGAATGGACGGCGTTTGATACTGTCGCGGCGCACTCGGTCGATTTCCCGGCTGTTCTTCTCTAGCGTTAATGGGCGCGAAGGTCTGACGTGAACGAGAGCCAGGATGCACCCTCTGCGGAGACTGCGGGGCTACGGGCTCGACAATGTCGAGATTCTCAGGTCGCTGCTTGAGATCCGTGAAAGGATCGGTTGGTCTTTCAGGCTTGCGCCGAGAGTCGAATTTTCCGGATGTGTCGATACCCTGATCACGCGGAGGCTCCCTTCGCGAGTTCCCGCGTGAGATCGAGGCGGGGACGAATGATTGCTGCGGCTGACGCCAGCTCTCCGGGTCCTGGAAGCGGCCGTTGTCTGCGAAAAAATCATCTTTAGTCTCCGGTTCGCGCGGGCCCGTGAGACCACAACGTGCGAAATGGATGAAAACTTATGTGATTGTGTTTACTGTCGATCAAGAGTCCAACGTCGTGTCCGACGTATACAGAGGGTCGTGGAGGCCGCTCAAGTGCTCTTTCCGGCTTGTGAACGTTATCCGGAGCGCGATCGTAGAAACCCGTGTATTGCGGCAATTTCCCAGTTCGGGTTATCGTGGCGTTGTTTGGCTTATGACTGACGATCCCGAACTCATTCGAATCCACATGGGCTCGGAACCCATTCTTATCGGCTTCGTATACGACTTTGCGCAGCTGTCCATCGTGGCCGCGCAGGTAGTACTCGCCTTTGACCTGTTTGTGATATTAAAAGGTCAGCCAGGGGGACAATGAACAATTCCTCGATAGAATCGCGAATGCCCCATGCCAGCTCCTGTCACATGCTGTGCCTCTCGGATGCTGGGGGTAGAACGACCCATGGATTTGGACAAAACCTAATTTCACTCTCATGCATCGGTCATTAGTTCTCCGGAAATCTAATGCAAGCCCCAGAACGTAAGCAACCGACCTTTCCTGTGCTATCTCCGCTTTGCTTATGACCGTGGAGACCACTGCTGAACTTGAACTCATACGGATGATGCACGTCTTCGAAATCGGGTAGCAGCTAGCGATTCGAGTTAATAGGAGATCATAGATTTGGTTAAGGGATACCGACCAGCGAACCTCGTGCGAACAGAGAATATCGTAAAATCCAGAAGCAAGGCACCAAAGAGGAGATGGATAATTTTCGAATGCGGGAAATAAAAATTATCCGTCGCAACACTCGAACGCGATGGCAGGGAAAGTCAATTTATACTCACATCGCCCAGTCTCTTATCTACGGGCTGCACATCCACCGATAGAAGCTCACTCGGGTTCTGCACAGGGTAGTTCTTGGGATGATGGTTTTGGATTTGAGGAACAGACGGTTGGAATGGTCGCCCTCGCTGAGCGATGCCGCTTCCGGGCGGGAAAAATTTCACGGGTGGATTCAGATTGTTCTTCGTGATGATCGCTCCACCTGGAGGCAGAATGCGAGTCTTTATGATGTTTGGAAGTCACAACTCTACTCAGAGTCAGGAAATCTAGATACTGACCCTCTTCCTCCTTATTCGGCGTGTTGAAGTACAGTGTTGGACTATGGGCTACTTGTTCGCTGACCGGTTCCTGTTGAGGCAGACCTCTCTCTTCTCGAGGATCCGGTCTCAGAGTTAGAACAGGCGAGACAGCGTCAACATCCTCGAGTTTACGGCCTTGTCTGCAACACGGAATTGCTCGTTTCTAGCGGGAATAATTAAAATCTGTCGGCGATATTGGGCTCGACGAGACGATTCTCGTACCTCGGAGGGAAACTCAGCCCGGGCTGAGCGTTCGACACCACGTGCAAGGGTCTCTGTGGAGAGAACTCCTGGGGTATGAAATCTTGATAGTACGTGCGACCTAGAAGTTGAATTATATCGATGAGTGCGCTGCTCGCTTCAGCTGCGGGAGGCGACAGCGCAATATGCGAATTTTCCACTCATAAATCAATACCGATGTGTGAAAACTCACCGGCAGTTCGTACGGGCACCTCCTGGTAAAGAGGGGTCTCATGAACGTGTTGTATTTTGCGGAAACCTGGGACAGGGAGCGCTCGAGACGCGGGTGCTGGCGCAACATCCGTTCTGCAGGTTAACATTGCATACTCGTGTCGTGAGATCAGGAAGTCAAGAAGGATAGAGAGGAATTTGCCTCCTATACACAACCATGCAGTACCTATTCTATACTCTTCTCTCAACTCGTACCTGTCTGGAACGTACTCCTTGCCCGCATTATCGGGGGCAGGGTATTCACCGCTCTTGACTCCCGGCTCATTCGAATCGACAAAAGCCCGAAAGCCGCTCCCATCGGCCACATAGTTCACGATCTTTAATTGAGACGACAAATGAGGGGAAATGTGGTATCCAGACTCCGATTACTGCGATAGATTTACATAGGACGCTCACTCGTTTCAATCCATCCGCTGTGGTTATCTGATAAGAGCCTGTGACCGCATCCCTGTTTCCTTTCTCGACGCGAGAGCTCTGCCCACCCTCGGGATGCTCAATCGAATACTGGAACTGGTACGGAAGGTATGGCGCGGTATCTTCAGCACGCGTCAGGGTACCATAACATATCTGAAACCAATTCGATAAGTCACGCGAGATCCCCAGAAAACGCTGAATGGAATGAATGTTTGACTGAAACCGAAGTCGCTGAACGAAATCGAAGCGACGCGCAACGTGATCGCTCGAAGAGTAGATTCAGGAATGCAGCGAGGAAGAATAATAGAGCTCGACGAGCCGAACGGTGGGAAGGCTGCCGCACTTAACCCTTGCTGCGGTTGTTTTGTGAACGACGATTTGAGAAACTTTTGCTCCGAGAGAATTCGAATGAAAGCCCGGATTCCGTTTCACATTTCAACTATCGTGCTCCTGCGGTCGCTGCCAAAAATCGAAAGCAAAAGTCATGGTAACACAATGGACTTGGACAAAGTCCAAATCGATGGTGCTTAACATGGTGATGACTCCTCCTGATGGATGACATCGACCGACCAGCCGGCCGGCAGTCGGTCTTCCAGAACATCACTAATTCGATGGTGGTACGGAGACACTGACTCCCTTTAAATGTGGATGTCCGTATTCATCCGCTCGTGCGTTCCCTTCTAGCCGGAGACACGTCTGACAAGTCAAAGACCTTCTCTTTGTCAACCAGGCTCCCATTCAGAATGTTTTTGACTGGTCCAAGTCTAACTCAGAGCGGGATGAGCTCGCCTCTCCTGAAAAACTCTCAAGGCTTCTGGGTTTTGCATTCATGCGTCGCCCTTGGCGCGGAACTCGCATTTTCACTGGGCTCAGTGAGGATTTTACATGAGAAAATCGGATTTGGCATGAAGGTCTCCATGTAGGTTTGGCCTGACGCTTTTTTCTCCGTCGAACATTCCCACATTCCTCGGATAGCGTCTTCTCTGTGTCGTCTCGAATACTATTTTTTTTCTGTAAGTTCCGCTCAGAAATTCTTCCGAAGCCGACCGGCTCGCGCATCACACGTTGTCGACATTGTCGAACTCAATGGAACCGATTGAGCATTGCTGACCGCTGCGCTTTCGAAATTTTCGAGACTAAATCATAGATTCCGAGAGATGTACATCCGTACAAAGAACGAACACTGAACAAAAATACAGAAATATTTCCCAATGTCCGACATCGTTGTGTGACCACATCTCGAATAATAATGCTCTCAGAAGCGCGCACTTTCATCCCCTACGATCGTTGTCAAGTGCAAGTGGGAACATTTTCTGAGGCAAAGCAGCAACAATTCGTTTTGAGCCGTTTTGCAACCTGATGACATAGAAATTCTGATTTGCTTCTCAACGGGGTGCTTCACATCATGGATGTGAGCATGGATCCCTGTTTACACAAATGTTTTTCTAATGATCGGTCTGGACCCATCGCGATAAGGTACCTCTACCGATAGATAGATGGACCGGCCGACCACTTGAGTGGAAGAGCTCCCAGGGTACCCGAGAATTCTCGCATCTCACGAAGTTGGGTCGATTGCGCCGTCGGTTGATTTGACACATGCCGCACCACAGAAATATCAGTGTCGCTTCACGGCGAAAGATGAAAAACAAATCTGGGATCATGGTCATTGGTTGGTGGTGTATCCGCTGACAAAGCTCCTGAATGCTGCGGCTGATTTTGTTGTGGTGTCGACGCTACCAAAAAATCATGCACAAGAACCGGTAAAACATATGAAACTGTGAGCCGCGGCATGAATACCGCGAAACCTAGCAGGCGTCGAAAACTCGGTGAGCAGAGAATCAGATGTTCACCACAGACCAGTTTTGCGTAGATATTTATGAACGACTCTGATGAAGGGTGAAGGATGACCGGGATGTGGCCTTTGCAGGAAACGTTCAGAATGACGCAACGGTACCCGTCGAAGATGAGAAGCAGTTTTCAGAGAATCTCGCCAGCTTAAGGATTCATTTCCTGATTTCCCTTCGATCCGACATCCTCATTCTGACGAGCTCTCGTTTGCCGTTGGGCTCTGAACGGTTCCTGCCATGATTGAACGCGGCAATCCCAGTTCAAGGGTTTTCCTCATTGGAGAACATTGGTATCGCGGAATCATCTGAGAACACAGAAAACGGTTCCATTGGCGACATTGCTTCCAAAGTGAATGCTGACGTGAGACAGGCTTGAACGCTCCCTCCCCGTGCGTGTGATCGGTCAGCGAGGCAAAGCAAATCTTCCGATCAGGAGACTGCGGCATGAAAATACACGAACACAAAGTGCGAGCGATGATCTCATGAAGGTATAGATTGGGGCCAGAATATTTGTAGTGTGTAGCTGCTTCTCAGACGCAATACGTCGTGGATTACGATCTCGGCGTGACGGCGCATCGAACATGGAGCCCTAGGCCAGAGTTCTCCATCGTTCGAAAGAGCCGCGAGACATGCCGCCGACCGATCGCTCATCGCATCCAAAACGCAAAATGCACTATTCCAAGCGTGTAAATGGCTACAAACGAAATCCTCCCATAGACTTCCCTAGGACGCAACTAACGGATTGCTCCGCCATCGCCAGATGAGGGAAAAATAATTATGAAACGTTGCTATTTCACTTCAGCTTGGAGAATCCGTGAGAAAAAAATCGGGGAGCCCTAATATTTGAGGAATCTCTCTGACGGAGATGGTGAAACCGAGCACCGAGGAAGTACGTTGAAATTTGGCCTGATCCTTATTATTTTTTGCGTATTTTCCGCAAGTTTCCGAGGCCTATTTTACGCGAAATACGGGTTTGCTCGCAGAAAGCCACGAAAAACCGTTGTTCTGGAGTCGGATACGGCCAACTAACAAAAATTCAGCCGAATCGGCTGATGCCCGCCTGCACTGTCTCCTGAGAAGTCGCAGGCCCGTGAACAAGTCAGTAAAATGAGATCATTCAAGGAATTGAATCCTGTTCGATTAACTCCTCCTCCTGATTCATGGAGAGAGCTTCATTGTGAATCATGAAAAGGTGGATGGCATGTCTGCTTCAGCGATATCTGAGGTGCGATATGAGAGAAAAACACCATCAATCAAAGGGAAGAAAGCCACGGAGAACACCTCTCGCCGAAAATAAATACCCTCAAATCTGCAAATTAGCGTACGCTCCCAGACCGATATCCCACCATAATGAATCATTGCGATGGGTAGTCGAGGAGCAGTCGTGCATTTACTATACGCGAGCGTTTTTTTCTGGGACCCACGCCGACCACTCAACGTCGTGGTCTAAACGGGCAAGTACACAGGTTCATGGAAGTCGAAGCTCTTCTAATTGAACCGAAAGTATTTGGATTGTTCTTCTGGAGTTCAAGGTTGGGATGTTTAGTACGATATTCGATAACATGTATCTCGCGGGAGGTTTACATAATATTATTCGTTTAATCTCGAATAATTCAGTTTCTGTCACGGCGTCGTGTCGCGGAGAGACTGTAATCGGAGCATGTATTACGGAACGTCTCCAGAACGAGCTCCTCGGATCGAATGATTCCCCTTTCGAAAAAACTGGATTCAGGCCTTGGGACCGTTTGTCTGGCTGGGAAAATTTGAGGCATCTCAATCGGTCGCGTTTCCCCCGCTAATTACCGAAGATATGGGGAAACTCGGCGGTGCTCCAGGAGATTCCTCGCGTGTTGGCTCAAAATCAGAGCTCAATGTCCCTCGCACAGGGACGTGTCTCGATCGAGGAGTATCGATGCCTTGACGAGGGCTGATAGACTGATGCGACTATTACAAGTTTTTTACTGCTGGCAAGACTTCAAACGAAATCGATAGTGAATGGCATCGTTTCCAGAGCGACAAACTGAGCATTCTATCACGTTTCGGTATCGTTTTCGTAGTCCTCTCGTTCTCACCGAGGATCCGGAACGTTTGCGAAAAACTGTTTGAACGACTCCCGGAACTAGATCATTAATATTGGAACCTGACACGGGATCGATCAGGCGTAGGGAGAGTGCCGTCTCTGAGAACTTGAATTTACCGGCGGGTGGTCCGGGATATTCCCCATTAGCGTCTGGACCGCCGAGGTGGACCGCTCCATCGAGGGGGGAAATCTCGCCCTCAAAGTGAACTTTGACAGGGAATGAGGGATTTCTCCGAAGGAGATGAGCCGTTCGGGTACTTACCGCGAGAAGAATCACGGTCACGAAGAAGTTAGCAGATTCTGCGATCATGGTGTCGGCTGCTTCTGATCACCCTTCTGAATCCTTATCGCGAGCTCCGAGGAGATTTACCATTCAGTTCACTAGGTGTGTTTCGTCGAGGCACAACTCGATTCGAGGGGAACTTCTGCTGGACTTGGAAGGATCTTCTCCGCGCGCCGCATATAAACCAAGAAAGGGTAACGCTTCTCCAAGGTCATCAGGCTTGCCACAAGACGGTAATGCATATCGATGCAGAACAATATCAGGTAAGGTGCATACACTCCACGTCGCGAGCCCCGCGTACGCGAACTGAGGTCTCATCCTCAGTCGAGTAGATTTATGCTCACATCGATCTCGGGCACGCGGGCGCCGCCGCTCCACGACCATTTCTATCCGTTGGTGTTCGAACACCAAGATGCGAGGCATACCAAAGCCGAAGTCCCTTCAAATTAGGGTCGAAAACTACAGTATTTGGGAGAACGATATCCCAAAAATCGACTCCGCGAGATGAGATACTCGGGGGCGGAATTCTGAACAGCTCTTCGTCGAAGCTTTACTACTTGTCAAAATGTCAATGGATGACTTAGTGTGATCGAAGGGTGTCAAACGATGGGAGATGAGACTGATTCTGGAGAAGCTGTCCTTCCTCCGTATAATTCGTACGCTGACCTCACAAATAAGCCTCAAGTGCTGGTCACTGCTTCGTCAGGCGGATCGGTTGGTCGCGATTCCGCGACGAATCGTTCAATATGTCTCCATGATGCCATCGGCAGAAGCTGAAGGGTATATCGCAGAAGAAAGTGTCAGGTCTGACAAGTTTCCCGTTGGCTTTCGAGAGTCAGGCGGAATTCGGTTCCGACCAGCCATTGAATTTCCGGCCCGACTACACTCAGCTCATGGAGTAACGATGTTCCGAGATTGCGAATCGACTCCCAGAGGAGCACCGCGGAAATCACGACCGGAAATCGGTGCGTGGAGTGAACTTTCAACGAGAAGTGACGGCTGTTATTCAATTTTTCTCATTCGCATTGGGTACATTTCCAGGGTCAGTTGGGTTTAATGGGATCACTCGAAGCCCAGAAAAATTTCTACGGGTCGTTCGAATGGTCGGTGTCTTCACGGAAACGAGCAAAAAAACCATAGCACGTATTCCCCCAGGCGATCCGGTCTGTCCGCATGAGCAGACACAATGAGACCAACCGATCGGGGGAACTGACATGCACGTTCCTCGATCTCGCGGACGTCTCGCAGTGAGTGTTCAGCGTAAAATAAAGGCTTATGAAGGACTTTCCAAAGCAGAATCAGGCGTGCATCATATTATGTTCCAAAACGGATCTGCTTCTCAGAGACGCTAATGTTGCTCAACACTGTAAACAACAAGAGAATACCCCTTTACGATGCCATGTGATGGCTGAAAGACCATTACTATTTATTACCGGCACATTGGGCATCGATCATAAGAACAACGCTACGGCTGAGCACCAACGCAAGATGCGATGCTTCCCAAGTCGCATACGGCTGTGGCTGCAGCAGCGGCTGCGACGTCGGCGCATTGTCTCACCAAGCGTCAACGCAGGGCGTGTCGTACTTATGAGATCATCACTCCGGATGGACTCGGTCTTAGATCACCATTGCGGGCCGAAAACAGAAATTCTGTCCAATTATCAGGGGCTGTCTTCGTGCCGTCTCTGATAGAGGGTGGAATCGGCCTGGGAGAACATCTCAACGAAAGTGATCTAAACTCTGTGCGCAAACGATATTTGACGCGTCGCTAGTATAGGAGAAGTTGCCAACTTCCGATACGAAGCGAAAAGAAAGACTTCCTTGGAGCGAACCATTTTTCATCAGCCTGATCACAAGGCTCCGGATGTGAGGGAGGTGATTTATCTCTACAGGATGACACAATCATTCGCGTCTCGACAAACTTAGGATGTGGTGCGATGTCATAGATTATATTCTCTTGGCACGGCGTGAGTTTGTTGAAGGAAAACTCAGGCGCGGCTCGGTCGCGTGAGCCCGCTCAGGCTTCGTGGAGTGGGTTATTGTTGGAAGGTGTGCGCAGCACCACTACGAATCTTCCCGCCGCACTTCGCCAATATACTATTCCATCTGGAGAAGATAACGAAGAGAAGAGATTGACACTGCTGCACCGCTTGTTCACGGTGGTTCCACATACACATTCCAACAGGTTATGGGCCCAGGCCACCATGTGTGAAAGAGTCGAAACATTGAGGATAGAATGTTGACGAGTGCCTATGCGAAATCAATAAAAGTGAACCGAGTGAAAAAGAAATTTCCTCAACCGCGGCGTGGTGACGGAAAGGAGCCCAACGGGAGAATGGTCAAGGAGGACTCAGAACTGTGAATGTACGAATCCCGAGAATGAACGTGGCGTGGATGCACGACTAGCTGGGAAGCGATCGACACGCTATTCAAGACAGCGTGTCGATGTTGGTTGCTGCTGGACTCGATGACAGCTAAAGACAGATCTCGTATCGAGAAAGCTCTGAATGTTGTCTTCGATGAGCACACCAGGGTTTCGTCAATCATTTGGCAAGAATCTGAAGGAGGACCGAGGCTTAAGGTAGCGGGTCCGGTGGACGGCTTGAGAGGACCGATGCTTGATGTAGCGGGTCCGGGTGAGACCAATGCCATGGGTGGCGGGTCAGGATGAGAGGCCGATGCCATGTGTGGCAGGTCAGGATGAGGGGCCGATGCCATGTGTGGCAGGTCAGGATGAGGGGCCGATGCCATGTGTGGCAGGTCAGGATGAGGGGCCGATGCCATGTGTGGCAGGTCAGGATGAGGGGCCGATGCCATGTGTGGCAGGTCAGGACGACGGAAGACCAATGCCTAATGTGGCGGGTCGGGACGGAGGAGGACCAATGCTCGGTATGGCGGGTAAGGACGTCGAGGGACCAATGCCATTTGTGGCGGGTCAAGATGAGTCAACTGAACTAAGACCATACGTTGGCTGGTCGTGATGAGATGGTCGGTCGAGATGATGAACCCGTGCCATGTGTGGCAGGTTCAGATCAGCTGAAGGGTCGAAATGGGAGACCAATGCCATTTGAGGCATGTTGGAATGGAGTATCGAGCGATGGCTGAGGCACGGCTCAATTGCCCGCCAGCCTCTTCCGGAACGCCGACGGAAACGCTGGAAGCGTCGTTGAGAGCGCTGGGAGCGCAGATGTAAACGCTGGGAGCGTTGAGGACGCTAAGAGCGTCGATGAGGATGCTGGGAGCGTTAGAGGCGCTCGGAGCGCGGACAAAGGCTGCTCGGGAAGCGTCGGGAATTCGAGAAAACTGAATGGGGGCTCGGGGAGCTGGAAATATCCGACCGTGCCGGGGTCAGGACAGAGATCAAAGTCAGCGGAACACCGAGCTGTCACTACCCGTCGATTATATTTACAAGACCAAAATTGGATCGCGGAGTGCTGCGGAATGCCAGAGAACTTCGCGAGCGATGGGAGTACTTCAGATAAGTAGAAACTAAGTTGAATTTTCTCAGAGGGTGCCTCATCCACCTTGAATGAGCTCCCTGGTTTTGAAGCGAGGGGGAGCCTTCGAGATCGCGCTCCACTTCGAAGGATCTTCGTGGTTTTGCGCAAGGGGGAGTGTTGGAAGGTGTGCGCAGCACCACTACGAATCTTCCCGCCGCACTTCGCCAATATACTATTCCATCTGGAGAAGATAACGAAGAGAAGAGATTGACACTGCTGCACCGCTTGTTCACGGTGGTTCCACATACACATTCCAACAGTTATTCCACTAGTCGGTCGGATTCAGTGTCTCGGATTGTAGTTCCCTCCAGAAAGACGGGCAGTAATTTGGATAATCTGGGGGGAGAGATTGAGGCGAAGATCCCACATCAGACGCGCATCGGGGCCGAAATTTTCTGATCTCCGCGAGGTTTCATAGAATAGCGTCCTCCGCTCCCGCGGTGCTTCCGGTTAACATGGCCGCTCGGAGTCGGAATATCGGCGTTTCCTCGGGGGGCTCCCGTATAGCTCAGGAAATAGCTTGTTACATTCCATCTGACGTGTTGAGGTCATGAGGACGATGTGGCAAAGAGGGGGGAGGGGTGGGTGAATTCTACGTCCTGACCCCGATCCAGAACATGTGCGGACCAAATAAACAGCTCGAAGCAAGAAAAAGAAGATGGCCGGAGGCCTCACGCGCGATCTTGCCCCCTCCGTCATCGTTTCCTTGTTCGCTCTCCAAGTTTTATTCTGGCTGCCTTCAACTCGTCACACTCTCGATCACGAATCGAGATTTCCGGGAATCTTGAGAAGCTCTGCATCGACCCGAACCCATTGCAATGCCTTTGTGCATAATGCATAACTTCCGTTCCCGATAGAGGCGAGCGCGAGTGATCCGAAAGGGAAATGCAGGGATCGATAGGCTCGAAGATCGGTTGACCCCGATATCATCCGTCTTGCTGAGTTCGGATGCAACCATCGGCGGAAGGAATTTCCTCTCAAGATGTGGAGCTAAGCCCTCGTGGAGACTGCGATGTCCCTAGAATGATTCTAATGCGATTCTCATTGAAGTCATGGATCTAATCTCGACTCGGAATCGTGGCGAGACGGCTTAAGTCTGTAGATTTTCGGGAGAATCGGAGGTATGAGGGAGAAGCGCCTGTCTCATGTCAACTACGACTCGCTTCACGGCTACGCCGCCAACAATGGAATCCAAGATGGTGAAGCGTATTGAAATTCGTACTTCGGACCAGAAACTCCCGCTGAGAGGTACTCCGTCTGGAAACGGGCTGAGGATATGGGATCACGCTCCCCGCAATTTCGTCACGCCTGGAGATCGCGAATCTGAAACTGATTCCTCAGATTCTTTGGAATGATCCTCAGATTCGAAAAAGAGGCAGTACGTCCTGATGACAGAAACATGAACGAAGCGCTGCGGGCCACGAGAATGTTCCGACGTTCGCTCTCCCGGAACTCAACTGACTGAGTCGACATCGAGATCGCGGCGAGTTTTTAGGGTACCTACCGATGCTTCCGAACTCTGACGCTGACTGACGAGTGAGACCGGAAGAGCCTACCGCCAATCCCGATACGTTGATTTCTCCCCCCGAACGAGCGTCATCATCGGTCTGCGTGGAATCTCGAAGGGCATGACGCGACGGAGGGAAGATTTCACAACGTGTGTTCGAGTCGTCAGCTGATGGAGTATTGTTCTTACAATTACCCAGTCGGAAGGTGAGACCGGACTCCCATGGAGGATGCAGCTGACGCGGCATCTGGACGGGATCATTTTCCTCGGGAGTTTTCTGTGGATATAGTTTTTCAATCAACGTAAGAGTACGAGCAGCCCTGTGGAAGCGTTACGTCAGACGATGTCTCATCGCTTTTTCAAATTGGAACAACTCACTTTCGAGGTCGATTGAACAATAAAGGCTCGCGAGCATCGCCTCCATTCTCGCCTTTGGTGAGCACTTTGTTTTGGAATGTCACTCGTTCGTTGTCGTTCTTCTGGATCGCATCGAAGCCTGGACACGATCTTTCACGACTTACCATGTGGAAGTGTTCGACGGTGTGGCTGCTTCTGGCGATTCTCATGGCTTGGGCCTCACCGAGCCTTGCGATAAAACGAGCTGGCAATTGGCGAGTCTGCGAGAGGACCGACCTAGGTCTAGGGTGCAGCTGCACGAGAGCTTCCGACTGTTACGATTACACGAGAGACCGAGCGGGTTTCTGCGATACGCGGAGCCGAGTCTGTACTTATTGTCTTTACGGTCAGCACCTCGAGGGGAATTTTTCCGCAGCCTTCCTCTCGGAGTCTCGTCATCGTTGTGTTCAAAGTGATTCATGCGAGGAGATCCTCAACGAAAGAGGTTTCCAGACCGAGGTTGAGTGCGTCGGCGGCCACTGCCACCGAGACGGCCAGAAAACCGACGAGCGTTGCAGCTGCAGAAGTGGATACCGCTTCCGACGAATGTGGGACAGTAGCCTCCGGTGCGCCGATGACAACGAGTGCGAAAGTTGGGGCCGGCAGCACTGCGCTCGCTTGCATTGCATAAACACCGAGGGGAGTTTCGAGTGCGGATGCCGGCCGGGCTATCGGCTCGTCAACAACGGAACCAAATACGAGCACTGTCAGGAGATCGACGAGTGCGAAGAAGTGATCGGAATTTGCCCTCAGAGTTGCCGGAACGTGCCGGGAAGCTTCAACTGTACGTGCCATCTCGGATACACGTCCATTCGGGAAGATGGCAAGATGAAGTGCGTCGACATTGATGAATGTCAAGTGAGTAGCTCCCAGTATTTCTCGGTTCGTAAGAGCCGCATTTTCCGCGATAAACGGGATTCACCGCGGGCAAAAATGATTGAACGAGAGAAAACTTCTTCCAGGTGCTTGATTCTTGTCATCCTTTGACGACTTGTCACAATACGATCGGTTCATTTTACTGCACCACTCCGGTGAAGGCTCCTGCCAGCTTCGGCGGTTGGGCCATGACTCTGATCCCCATGTTTACGTGCATCTTCATCTTTGCTTTATGCTGCAGAAATCGAACTCTAGAGCAGGAGATCCTGAGACTTTCGAGCGAAGACTTGGCAGAAAAAGGTCGCTACGAGGTGTCAGCCGAACATGAGAAAATCGGAGTCGACGAATCAAGCTCTCCATAACAATTGTTGTTGAAAACGAATAGGAGGAGAACGATTAGAAACCGAATTCAATATTTATGTATATTCTTATGTTAATACGTGCTCAATCATACTGCCTGCGTCCAAGAATAAATGAAAAATTGTCGGATCTTTCTCCCTCGGATATTGAGCTCCGATGGCGCCCCTAGGAAAACGAGTTGATTGAAGAGGCGTGTCGGAGTACACCGAAATCACTCGAGAACAGTCCTGGAATGAGAACGTTCTCCGGTTCCACCCGCGCCGTGCCGCCGGCCTGAGATCGAGAAGCCGTGATGGAAATGAGAACGCGGCTTTCAACAACCATGAGGATCTGTGCAAGCTGCGAAAGACGCGAAGATCAAGATGCGAGTGGAAATCGACGCCAGACTCTCTATCCTTAGTGACGAACTCGGACTGTCGGAAAATTGGCTCAGGGAGCCGTGCCTGCTGCGGAGCTTTTTCACGCTACTACACGGGTAAAATCAAATAGAGTACTCTCAGGTTATCGGTCGCATCCTCTTCGAGAGGCTCCTCCGACCGTGGAAATGAGGATCGAAGTTTCAACGCTCTGATATCTTTGTCGTTGAGCCTGACTCTCGGAAGCATCGCGCAACCTCCCGGGAAGCCAGGAATACATACGGCCCAGTCTTGTCAAGATCTGAGTCCGCGCTCGAGAAGACACACGTCCGATTCTTGGCGGAACGGCCATCCGTGCGATCGACGTACGAATGGGACGCTTCCCGGGGCGGAGATCCCACTTTTTAATGGCTGATAGAATCGAGGTCACTTAACGCTCATCTGACAGAATCGCAGTTCGAGAGCGATACCCTGACTCACGAGATTTTACTGCGCCAACACGGAGCGACACTGATCCCAGGAACATACTTCCAAGCGTCGGTTCAGGATGTTGAAAATCGCGTGGTGTACGTGCCATCTTCCTTTTCCTTCGAAGCAGGTGTTCTGTTTTTCACTCGCTTCTCCCTTGTGCCGTCTGGACACGGTGAGCGAAGACCGCAGGCGAAAATCCACATCCGGAGAAGCATCTATTGAGCTTTGCCTGTCGGCGCCATCCGCAAGTCTATCCGTAATTTCTGTTCCGCCCTTGCATAATCGCCGTGGACGGTCGCGCCATACATAACCTGCGATTAGTTAGTGCCCCCCATCAATCGTGGAACCCTCTCCAGTACGACCCTCGCATCTGCGGAAGAGAATACATTTCAATGAAGTTCTTCAAGGAGTTCTTTAAGGGGCAGTGATCTACTTTTTAGCATGATCCCCAATTGGGAATAATTGGTGGATTGAAACGATTCCGCTCCCCGTGAATTTACGGTTTTCCTTTCCGGGGAAAAACGATGATTCCGGAAGCGCCGGTCAGCGCCGCACAGAACGGACGGTCAAGCACTGGCTCGCCCGCGGCTCATCCGCCTTCGGACGGCGTCTATTTAACGTCGTTCTAAACCAGAAGTGAATTACTGGAGCCCAAACCTCGCGACGTCCGTATCGTGTTCTTCGCCTTTTGCAAAATGTTCTTCAGAAGTTTGACGACGCTAGCTCTCATCCCAGCCTTGCTCGGATTGTGTCAAGCCGTTGTCCTCGAAGGAACCGATAAAGACGCGGAGTTCTTGAGTGCAGTCACCAAAGACTTCTCCGATAAGAAATCGAGTCCTCCCTCAATCCCGGTTGAAAGCTTCAGCCGCGATGCTGCCGCAGCAGCCACTTCTGCCACTGGCAACTCGAGTGCCGCTGCTTTCGCGAGTCAAGTTACGAGTGCTCTGAGCCAAATCGACCTCGGTCTCGGCATCTACAAAATGTGTCCGTTCCCCTTCTCCTATCTCCATCAGTGCGAGGGATCGTCCGATTGTCCTGACAGCGACTGCTGCGGCATGTACGCTTTCCCTGGACCGAACCGATGGAGACGATCGTGTTGCGTGCCTGATGGTGTGACCACCATCGCTCGCGTCGCTCGATTGTGCATAAAGGATAGTGACAAGAAGAACACTAATACACCGAGCAGCCCACCCAGTAGTAGTACGTAGAAACGGAAAAAAAGTCCATTGAAAATACGAATCCGATACCGAGTCGATTTAGGGAAAGTGGCGTTGACATCTAACGTGAGATTTTCTTCTCTAGGTGGGGGTCCGAAGCCACTGAGCGCAACATTGCAAGATGTTGTCGCTCAAGCGCTCGGTGTCAACACGGCGGGCAGCGATGCTGACTTGGATCTCGATGACGACGATGATGTGAAGAAGCTCTGAAGCATCGGGGGAAGATCAAGCTTTTTGTTATATCATGGAAACAGAGTCATTCTGCGTTGCGATCTCGCTGCTTTCGTTAACAACTTACAACTATTTATAAAGCTACAAATTAAGTTGGTAAATTGTGTTTTCGATCCCAAAGTCAAGCTGATATACATGGTTTTCCTGTCAATGGTCGGATGCCGTGGGCATTAGACATCCCGACACAGTATACAGCTCAAGTATTGGGACGATATCGGGTTCATCCTCAATCCAAGACAAAGTTCGTTCCATCATGAGAAGTCTTTTGATGAGAGCATTGCACGAATCCTCGGAAGACATGTCAAGCCGGCGAGGTGTTCGCGTCAGTAGGCCTCGAAAAACCGGCGCGAGCTCAACCCAAGAAACCCTTCTATGCAGGGTCTGAAGCAGCGGAACCGGACCATTCCGTCTTCCACTTATTATCATCCCCATGGCGGGTCAGCCAGAGAAAGAAGAAAAAAAGCTATGCGTATTACTTGCAAGTTCTACGTGACGGTGTCCGTCACGACGAGAGTTCACTGCATACCTCTTGTGCATGCCCCTCATGTTGCGAGTATTGACCATTGACACAAGTCGAATTCGTATTTTGCATGACGGGAGTTCTTTCGGATGAAGTGTCATGGGGAAAAAGTACCTTTCCATGGAACACGTAACAGTTTCGGAACTAGGGATTCACTATAATGTTCCGTAATTGGTCACAGTGTTGTCCCATAGGCTCCTATACGGTGTTGCTGAGCTCCCCCCCGCCCCCGAATTACTGGGGATCAATAAGAATTCCCCCTAGGTGTCCAAAGCCCGGTACATTCACCAATATAAACAAAGCAATCCATGCGGGGTGTGCCGCAGAAAGCTGCTCGGCGGAGCGATCGACCGAAAAGCGAAACTGAACCGTTTCGGATATCTGCGCATTCTGTCGATTCCGTCGAGAGATATCACTCCGACAGGGTATTCTCGAAGATTGCAAAACAATTCTTCATGTTGGCTCAGCGGGGCAGCGCAAGATTGCTCCTCGACGCTCTACCCCGTGAGAGGGCTTTGATGAGCTTTTCTTCTTGTGAAATTTTCCTCAACTTGAAAACCTGGAGATTCTGTTTAATGAAACAAAGTGATTCATCATGTTGGCAGTGCTTTAACCTCGATGTGACGGCACCGGCTGCCCTCAGATTCAGTACAAATGTGCACAAGGTAGGGAGCTCCGGGAGATGGAGCAAGTTTCCGGACCGAGGACTGAACTGATGAAAACATCAGCCGGATTAGTGAGAATGAACAGCAGGTGAGCGATGGTCTCCGGACCCCCGAAGAAGCGATTTTACATCCCATCTGCTGACAATTTCGAAATTCGCGCCACTGGCCGCCTGATTCGGATACATTGTGGACCAGATCACCGCTTAATCAGTTGGTTGATTGGTGTCTCAATCAAGTGAAAATTATAGACTATCCGACCCAGGATCCGTGGAGCCAACAATATCGATTCCGCTCGCGATAGGCTCGGACGTACCGGCGAGAGATCGGGGAGTGCCCGTTCGCGCCAAAATTTGAAGCCGACAACAGAAACCGGATGCAACGCTTTTGAAGCCAGCAGCGCTCCGTAATGGCCGCTTCCTTTTTCTCGCTGAGGGCCAGGTGTGTATTCGGCATCGCAGATTTTTACAGGATTCTCTCGGAGATTCTGCCCTTTGTTCGTGTCAATCGTGTCGCAAGATCATAGGAATCAAGTTTGCGTCGCTTTCTGAGGTGTGGCAGTGAAATGAGAGTTTAAAACATCTCAGAAGCGACTCCGAAGTGATTATGTGGTGACACGTGCTGCGGCATGTGTTATCGAAAGCAAGAATTCCATCTTTTTCAATCTCTCGAGTTGATCCTCAAGATAAAAGATATTCCGTGCAAGAAGTGTTCGTTCGCGGGTACTCGATCGAAATGCTGGGCGTCCTGGTCTTGGTGGATCGGCTGAAACTCACTTGAACCGTGATTCTGTGATCCGAATGTTGGTGTATTGAGATGCCGCTGTCGGGGAACATCCCATCAAAGTGCTAGTGCAAAGCTTTCTTTCTGGAGCTCCGGAGCTTGAGCTGCTATCATATCACCGCGGCGAATACTCGTATTCGGAAAACTGACGAGCTTATTTTGCAGACGTTGAACGAGTATGGGTATCTCTCGCGATCGTGCTCATAAGCACCGGGCGACCGGAGGCAAACGTATCCAAATTCGCAAGAAGAGGAAGTTTGAGTTGGGTCGCCCAGCCGCTAACACCAAGCTCTCACAGGGAACCCCCCAGAGAGTTCATCAAGTTCGTACACGAGGAGGAAACATCAAATTCCGTGCTCTCCGTCTGGATCACGGTAGGTCATCAGTGAATGGGGAACAATAACCCAGATACGAGACGTTCCGAGTTACGTATTCGTTCCACTTCGAGGGAGCATCCCAACCTCCTCTGTAAGGAATGCTTTGAAATTAATCCTCCTCCCGATTTTCACAGGAAACTTCTCGTGGGGCTCGGAACGATGCACCCGTAAGACCCGTATCATCGATGTCATCTATAATGCGTCAAACAACGAGCTCGTTCGTACTAAGACCCTGGTCAAGAACGCCATCGTTCTCGTCGACGCCAATCCCTTCCGTCAGTGGTACGAAAACCACTACGCCCTCCCTCTTGGTCGCAAACACGGCACCAAGATCGCCGACATCGAGGGTGTCACCATTGGAAAGAAACGCTTGGAGAGCGAAGCGCAGAAGACCCTCCAGAAGAAGGCCCCCATCGATGCTCTCATGGAGGAACAGTTTGCCACCGGTAGACTGAAGGCCTGCATTTCGTCACGACCCGGACAGTGCGGCCGGTGCGATGGATACATTCTCGAAGGCAAGGAGCTCGAGTTCTACACGAGGAAGGTCAAGGCCAAGAAGGGCAAATAGACGGCGCATCTTTTTCACCGATACATTTGAGTCTGCGAATAAACGGTTTCGAAAGATGCTTCGGATCGGAGAGTTCTGCGTTTAGGATATGTTCCAGGAGAGGATGAGCCAAGCAATTTCAGTTCTCTCTCGTTGTCCCAAGAATGAGAATGAGTGGACTAGGTGCGCACGATTCTCTTGTTCTATTCGTGGTTTCTTCTTTCCAAATTCACTTCGTAGATCATCTCAAATTCTCCGAGTTTCAAATTCCGTTTTATGGTTTCACTCGCGCCCCAGGCTGAATGACCCTATCGGGACTATCTCGCGAGATGGATCGTCGCAACTTTCTTTTTCTCCGGAACCGGGGAAGCGCTCCGGCCTCGCTGCGTCGTCCCCGCGAGTAGAATTTCCCCCGCGAGACAGAGCTGAAACAAAAAAAAGGAAGACCCATGCTTTCTCAAATGCAATCCAGCTCGCTAAACATGGACCAATCGAAATGAGTACCAGTGGAGCCCGGTCTCGATTGAGATCAATTATCCTCACTCAGCCTTGATGGCAGATGGTCGTTTGACACCACGGACGGAGAGCACCACTATGGGGCCTCTGCCCACAGACTCATCTCACTATCAAGGCACTACTTGAGGGTAATGATTCCGTGTATTCATGGTCCTAAATTCTAATGATACTTATGAGTCTCGATTTTCCGTGAATCTCGAGACGATAGTGTGCTCTCTCGAATTACGATTCCCAGCGATGGGAATCGATTCGATTGCACCGAACGGACAGATCCTCTCATTCACTTTCCTTCAATCGCAGCGCCCTGCCTGCGTACGGAGTCTCAATGATCAGGTACTGAGAAGTTTCCGCACAATCTAGGAGGTCAAAATTCCGGAAACAAGCTTGAGCCGAATACTTGTCATCCATCTGTTCTGTTTTTGAATCTACCGCCCCGTCATCAAATATGGGGACACTTTCCCTAGAGCCGTGATCATCGTTCGGGCTTAAATGTATTCACATGATCCAATGCAATCCCAATGGATGCACTATTGACGTCGCATCGAACCCGGAGGCACGACTCTGTTACGATCTCGGACCTAGTAGGGTTGAAACCGACATCGTTCTGCGGTGGCGAGAGAACTCGTCCCTAGACATCCCTAGAATTCGGCTGGTTTGATCACCGATATCCCTAGAGCAATATTGTCGGTAATAACTATTTTCTCAGAACGACCACCCTTTATTACCCCAGCCAGCAAGTTGCAGTCGAATGTTGCCAAAACCGAGTTCTAACCCTGAGTTTCCTTTCAGATGGACATCTGAGCGATCCAGGCACAGGAATACTGCGCGAGAAGGAGCAGCACGGCCAAAACACAACGATTCCAGCGCCCTCTGGATGGAGATGGAGACCAATCAATCATTGAGTAAGATGGACGCCATCATAGCATTCTGCTGAGAAGGCCTCGTATTATGTGCTGATTCGTCCTTTTGGAGTTTCTCCCAGGACCGATTTCGGTTCGGAAATCGTGCCGTACGCTCGCACTGGTTACAGGTTCTCTGCGCCGGTGAAGCGCGCGATAACTGTGTAATCCATAATTTCTCCCTCAATTCCATCGAAGCCTCAGCTATCAAGTGTTATGAGGAGGCTTGCTGGGCTCCCGTCAGATATCCGAGTGTATGCTGGGTTAAAGTGGTGTTTCATCATCGCCTTGCGTGAGTGGAATGCTTCGATTGACGGCTCTGTGTTCTCGGTATGTCAAAATTACAGAGAAGCCACCGAGAAAAGAAGTATCGATCTATGTGTATAGGGACTAGGAGGGACTCCTTCAGAATGTAAGTCCTCGACAAGATTCGAGTTTCATGCAGCAATCTCCCCGACGACTCCTCAACTGTGTATCTCCTGGAATGTACAGACGAGTCGGCGTAATATTCACGAAGCGCTCAGTTTCTCATGGACTGTCGGGGTGATTTCGATCGTATCACGTATTGTAGACGTAGCCATATTCAGGCTCTCAAATGTTATATATTCATGCTGAGCCATCAATGGCATCAATCGAACGGCTCATTCTGCGTAGACATGTATATTATATCATCGATGTTGTGGAATATTTTCGGACTGACTACTTGTAGTGTTCAATGTAACAGACAGAAGCGTAGCGAGGGAAAGGGGACAGGGGTGAGGGGCAAAAAGCATCTGTCATCGACGACACTCGGAACGGGATTGCTTCTTCGGAGATGTTGCCATGGCAGAGCAGAAACAAGGGAGCGGCTTCTTGTCTGCTCGTGACGCTGCTCAAGGTCCAATAATATCGCACAACTCATAGTATTGAGCGTCGAGGGATGTCATATTGCTTCGATTCCGCTTTTCCTCACTTCCAGTCCGGGAAGTGAGGAAAATCGGACGTATTCTCTTGAATGACTGGCGGAAGCTCATGGATGAACTCTTGGGATCCCACGAAATTCGATGCGAGAGTAAAATTGAGATCTGAGGCGCGACCTCCTTCGTGTTCCCCACCGAAGCTGCCCTGCTGATATTCTGATATGTCACAGCAGGGTCTTCAGAGAATAAAATCTTTTGTCGTGCGTGAGTCCTCGTTTGCGGCTACGTTATCGGATTAACATCATTAACACCCCTTGCTCTGCTCGACACCTTTCCCACCGTATTCGTCACTTCTGGCTTCCGGAAAGAAAATAATATCCCCGTCCTAATGCCCTAGTCCTGGAGAAAGCTGCGGACATAATCGGCGGAGATTTTATGACTTATTTGAAATGCAGCCACGATTACTCTCCGGATGCGCGAGAAACCCACATTCACGGAGTCGCAGCGAGCTCTGATGGAAGAAGTTTATAGACGAACGCCATACATTGATCACCAAGCGAGGACTGACATCGCCTTGAGCATTGGGATCGCGGAGGAGCAGGTAGGGCAAGGCGGGGTCGTTTCCGGGACTCTCTCATGATGAGGCCACAGTCTGGGTGGTCGGTTACCGTTGACGAGAAAGCTCGACCCTGAGCTTTTCGTACTGTTCCAGGTAAAAAATTGGTTCCAAAATCGCAGAGCCAAAGAGAAACAAATGTTGCGATGGCGGGAAAGCTCTGCCGCTGCGGCAGCCGCGGCTGCCGCCACTCAAGTTCAGCACCACTCCGGGGGAAGCTCCCAAAACCTTGAGAATCCAACTGTTTCGAATCAGAACGCGAACTCTTCACGGACATGTCTTTCCCTACCCCCGTTCCTGGCCCATCTAGAAGGTCTACCCGACCTCCGCGAATGGCCGCCTCGACCGTTTTGAAGCGTTAGTTTTCTCAGGAAGCGACGAAAATCAAATCGAGCGAGGGCACATGATCACACGAGAGAATATTGTTAGCTAGCACCTGCGATCGAATTGGATGTTGAGAATGGATAACTCCCGATGGCTCTGTAAATGCGCTTGTTGTATGCACTTACTCTATCACCATCTTTGACGGAATAAACTCGAAGACATGATTTGAAATAGTTCCTCGAACCTATTTGTAACATCGAGGATGTGCTTGACGCTTATGAGATCCCTTCAAACCTAGCCGAAGCAGTAGTGTTGCCCGAGTTGAGAACCTGAAGTTCCATCTCGTCGATTTCGTACGGCGGTGAGAACACCGAATGAGGCGACATCCCTCCTTTGAATCTTCAGCCCAGTATTCGCTGCCGGCTTGTTCGTTGCCATCATTGGTGAATTTAAATTCCTCGGTGCTATCAGGACGATGACCATGTGACATCGAATATACAGACGACATATCCATCGTCCCGGTCGTGGACGCGTGCTTACAAACATCTGAACCTTCCATTTGTACATTGTGTACATTCTCACGAATGAGATCATACTCCTATGTGGCCCGGAAGGGAGACCTCTGCTGGGCAATGTGAGATCGAGCTGGGACTGAGGGAATAGTCGGGGTCGTTTTGGCTGTCAAGGTCTAATTCCCAGGATGAAGGGTTGAGATACACGAAATTCTCCTTTGGATTCCGACTTGTACTTTCTCCCTGCGCAATCGCAAACTGTGATCGAGACACCCCCCTAGCGATTCTGTGGAGGCTACTCACACCGGTTCGCCCTCCGCCTCACTTTCGGTAATTTCACTCCCGCCGGGAGTCTCCCGGCAGCATTCGATGGAGATATTCAGAATGGATGTTCCGGTGGTAATTCAATGTAGGTGCTCGGAGCTTCGCGGAAAATATTCTAGTCAACGTCATCAAACAGGAAGACTTACGACCATCATCCTTTCAGAGAGCTCCATTCACCACCCGAGCCTCAGCCCCTTCTCAGGGGCTCTCAGTTCACCGGTAGATTCATATTCTATACCGAAGCCATCTGAACCGTGGCTCCTCTTCAGGGCAAAGTTGGACGGATCATTCGCGATCATTGGATACTAACATGTTAATTCCCAGGCTAGCAATACTCGAATGGATTCCCAGTCCTCCAATGATGGATACGGTATACTCGATTGGTGATTCCCTGAGAGCAAGAACATCTATCGCTTACAGTCGGTTCCCTTTCAGATTCCTCGAGGTTTTCTTCGGATGCGAGCAATCCTCCTCATTCGTCGATGGAAAATCATATATATAGTCCTGGGTCGGCGGAATAAAATCGACAGCGCCGACCCAGCGCCGACTCAGCGCCTCGAAACTTAGCTGAAAATTATCATCGATCATTCCTCGCGAATATCTATCATGCAGAGCGCTACAATGTCCACTCGCTCGCGCACGTGCGCTTGCTATGAGTTGGCTTGCTGTCAATGTATTACCCGTCATTTTCCCTCCTCTCGTGATAATCATTTTCCGTTTCCTCCCGGCTCTTCTCTTCCCTCCTTCACCGAGTATTTTCGGTATACCGTTCCACTGCTTTTTCCTTACCCAACTAAGCTATCATTCCGTTTCCCCGTGTTCCCGCACAGGTTTCTCGTCCCCACGCTTCCAAACTTCCCCGTTGACCCGTGTTCCTGTTCTCCGGTTTTGAAGTTTTCCCGTGGTCTTCGCGAACTCTTCCCTCTCTTCCCCGGTTTTCCAACGCTCTGCTCTCCGAGTTTCCCCCTCCAACCCCTCAACCCCGCTATTCCGCCCCCCCCCATGTTCCGTTCCTCGTTACTCCGTTTTCCCGCTTCGATATCTCTCCTAAGGGTTCCCGAGAATCCGCCTCCGAAGCTCCATAGTACAGCCCTCGAGGAGTTTTGCGAGTTTCCCTTTTTCCCATTCTTGCAAAAGTTTGATTTTCGGTGGGTGAAGCACTCAAATATTTTTTGAAAGAACCCATCGCACGTAGTCATGCCGGGTAACCTCCCGACAGCTCCTTGTAACAAACCCTTAAATAAAGAATAGGAGACTCCCGAAAGACGGGCAGAAAGACCCTCATATACAGTAGATCAGCGATGGCCTTGGCGCCCGAACCCCGGGAGAGCGAAACATCTCAAGTATTGAGCAGGGGATATATTTGCATTTTCAGGTCTCCAGATGCTCAAGAGCGCTGTGGCAAGCTTGGATTTCTTCAGCGGCTTCTCATCCTTGTGTTCCTCACAGGCAAGTCATCCGTCATCATGGTCCTCATTGTACCTATATGCAGGATATAGAACCACCTAACTGGTCCCAATTCTGAACTCCTAAATCATCGACTCCCATTTTTGAGCAGGACTTCTCAACAAGATCATGTTCCGAGTTTTCTCAAATGCCCCCTACACCCCGCTGGAGCGGCGAGAAGACATTTTTCTCTCCGGAGGAAAAAGCCATCTTGGAGTCATACTTCAGGTAGTTGCATGAAGTTATGGTATTTCGCTAGTTATCATTCTTGGCTCCTGTCACCGGTCGCTCCACCCGAAGCCGCGTCGTCCCTCACTATCCAAAATACTGACAAGGAAGATTCTATTCCAGGATGGATAGATATGCAACACGTGACATGTGTATCAATATCGCAAAGGAGCTTAAAGAAAAGACCGGGAAACAGGTGAGCTCCTTTTCCAACCAAGCCATTGGCGAGCCATTTTCGATTAGTTCCACCCCATTTGCATGCCTCCTCGAAGCTGAGATGGATAATTTTTTGAGGCTTATCGTGAACATTCCAGGTGTACATCTGGTTCCAGAACAAACGCCAGAGAGAGAAAGCTAACACGTCTCTGCACTGAGATCGTCGATTGAGGAAAGGCTGCATCGTGCTAGAGAGTACATTAGACTCTCTCAGATCTCGCAGAAGGAAAAAGTCAAACCGTCTAGTTATATTGGAGCAGTCCGAACGGAATCTTTCCGAGACGATCAAATGTTCGTTCTATCAGAACGAGAGCTTCAACCCTCAAATGATGGACTTTCTCATTGATCGCTCGACCAACACGATCTACAATCCGCACGATCCTGGAAACTGGTGTACACTGTTTCTCGGAGCTGAATTCTAGATATCAAATAACATTATCACGTTCATTTGTTATATTTTGGAGTGGTTTTATACCTGTCGCGTCCGTAGCTGCCGCGTCCTTCGAATACGCGTTCCGCGGCGGAACCCACAGGAGGCGCAGACGCGGAGTTCTTCCAGGCTGAAGAGCATAAGACCTGCGCGTTCCACGAGAGTTGCTGCAACAGATTCTCTGTACGGGACTCCCGACTGAATCCTGAAGGAAGGATGAGGAGTACACCGGAAGAGCTCCAGATTGGATGTGAAAGAAGTCCGACAAGGAACCTCTCAGCACGAATCTCACTGTCAGACATAGCATCTCCAAGGAGAATTGGAGCCCTTTGCGATTAAGATAATAAAGAGAAATAGAAGCGAGGAAAACCATACCGAGCCTCATCCTTGTGTGACGAGAGCAGACAGGGGTGTCCTGTCCATTGTAGTCACATTGAAGGTATTGGGTGCGGGACCCATGATGTGATGCGCAGCCTCGAAATTATATAGCGTTTCTCAGGGACCCATTTCGTTCAAGGAATTAATGTCTCGGGGTGTGAGCAGAAAGACATCCGGGAATAGGGAAGGGCTCGAGCGCTGTTCGAGCCCCGGCGCCGCATGATCCTAGATTTGAATCCCCATGAAATCGGCAGAAATTGCAACGAACGATTTTTCATCATGGCTCACAATCGGGATCGAGACTACCGGACCGTCTACGCGAGATGGTCATCTGACCAAATCTGCATCTGAAAGTTTCAGAGTTTTCTTTCCACTGAACTTCGCAGTCCAGAATCGACATCTCGGATATCAGCGAATCGGTATCGGTTCCGTTGAGAGCTCCGAGGCGCGAGAACGCGTTGTGAAAACAACGCCGAGACCAAGACACTGCACCGACAGCCTGACTATTTCACAGAGTATCGGAGCAAAATCGGCGAACCCTACAGTATAGTTCATGCAATGGAGTTTACTCACTGGCGAAACGCTTATCTCGGACTCGTCGTCAATTGCTATCAATCGACGCTCACTTTAGTCTCAGCATACCACTCATCATTAGGAAGGCCAGCATAGCCTCCAGTCACGCGGACGGGAGGGTCGACCTCTATAAGATCTTTGGGATCTGTCTCATCCGAAGGTGGTCTACGAATGAGCAGCCCCAGATAATCGTCTGACGGTGCGGTTTTTGACTGCAACACCTTGGTATTGGTATTGGTATTCATTTATCCTCATTTGAGTTTCTTAAATGACGCTTTCACTTCAGTGGCGAGTAGTCTCAGCGGATATTGTTAGTTTCTTCCTCCCACCGCTGTAGGAGTCTCTGGGTGTCGCGTATCATCCTCGAGGAGGGATCTCTGTCAAGTCCCAGTCGTTTCAGTATTTCCTCTTCCTCGAAGAATGCTTCGTTGCATTCGCAGATGACGTGGCCTATGGTTTCAATCGTCCATCCATACCTTCATCCCGATGTTCCAATACTTCAACGCGGGTTTGGTTTCTCGGCGATATTTTGCAGTTCCTCACTTATCGATTCGCTCAACCCCGTGGCGATGTACCAGCTCTCGGATTCATCGGATTGACAGACTGCCACCGCCGCGCCGAGGAACAAGGTGAGCTTCCTGAAACTCTTGTCATATGTACAACGCAGGCCTCTCTCTTTCAGAAGAGATTCATCCAGGTCATGCTCCGATTCTGGTCAATAATTCGGGGAGTCTTGACCTCCTTAGGCTCCCACGAGAAGGCAACCGAATCCCTAGGGTCGTCTCGCTCAGCCTGACTTCTCTGTCAGTGGAAAACCTTGGTGGAATGAGGAGAGACTTCGCTGATTCCGAGTGGTCCTGGAAACGGTGGGAAGTTTTCTTAAAACTCAAGTCCCTCACTGGGGATGTGGTGCGGAGATCGTCCAAGTCTTTGTTCAAATCGGATGCCGATTCATGCTGGATGATATGGAAGCCCGTCCCGACAATCTATTACTCCGTCATCCTGTCATCATGCCAGGAGAGGGTTAAGCCATTTCGTGCGCACGCTATGAGATTCCCGAAAATCGAGCTTACATCGACTAAAACACCTGCCCTTCTGCAGCCTTCTGAGGGAATGAGCC